TAGCATAGCCCTCCAAAAAAAGAATCAGAACGACATTTCTCACTAAACCGGTAATGATGCTTCATTTTATAACCGACCAAGATAGTGGCGTAGCAAGAAATGGCAATGAATGACATGGGAGAATCGATTAAAACCAAAGTTGAATGGAACACCTGTACAACCGTTAGGATTTAAAACGTTTATCAAATCGCGACTTTCCATCAGCTAAATGATTCAAGGTGTGTGTAAACAAATCTACCGCGAAAGCGTGTAAATATATATAATGTGGAAAGACTCAAAGAGATTCCCGACTAAGGGTGGCAAAATTTCATGAATGTGAAAATTTTGAAATTTCATGGGAAATTCTTAACTGAAGTAAAATCTAACCATAAAATATAATCATATTTCCACGCTTTTTTACTATCCCAATAATTCTTAACTGTCGAAACTCTAGTATGAGTAGCATTTAGTAAAGGCATCATGCAAGTCATCTTTGTCACTCACGTTAAACCTCTTAGAAAAAATAATTAAAATGCAAGATTGAACTGAAAAAACTTGTTTTTCTTTGCATTGTCTGGTTTTTTGCGTACCTAGCGTACAAAATGAGTACATTTTTCACAGGTTCCACATTTTAGTGCATTCGCATGAAATATCCCTTAAAAATGTCCAGTCTCGCATGTATTTTTAACGTTTTGTAACATCCTGTCTAGACTTTTGCCGTGCTGAAGGAGAGGACAGCATGTATGAGCCCTTTTACGTTACCAAATCCCCTTCCTTACAACGCTAATTTTCTGGGGGATGGAGCTATTTTTCTTCCAATTTTTCATTGAAGTTTTTTTGCAATTCAAACTGAAATATTCGAAAATTCAAAGGGGAAACACTCAAATTTTCCTTAAAAATAATTATTTTACTTACAGAAATGGCTACAGTCAAATGGACTACATTTTGCAATTTGGAAGTATTAATTCCGGCCCGGTGTAAAAACAACGTATGTGCCATTAGTTTCCCTTTACACGTAAGTGTTTTTTCAGATAAGCCAGAATTTATAGGTCCAAATTGCAAAATGCAGTCCAAATGTTCATACGGCGGTTGTTGTTCGTAGGTATGCGGCAAGTGTTCATGTTTTTTTTTTTTTTTTTTTTTTTTTCTTTTTTTTTGGGGGGACTTAGAGTAAGTAGAATTTAGGGAATTTAGAGTAAGTAGAATTCCTATGTAAAAACAAGAATTTTTTTCTTGTTAACTTCGATTTCACCCGAAAAAGTAATTCCTGGAATGATATTCAGAAGCAGTTGAAAAAGTCTGAAAGTCGTCGCTCAACCTGGCGTAATAATGTCTCCATTGTACTTTCGTGCTTAGCAGGAACGCCTTATGAGCCACCAGGCGTTGCCAAATTTCCCTCTACAAGTCACGAATTTCCAGAAATTTTTTTGAATATTTCTTCTCTGATTTTTCAGTGGATTTTGGTCGTAAATGGATCTAAAAAATCTGAAAATTTAAAAAGGAAAATATTCATAACTTCTTTATGGATTTAACATTTTCTAAGAGAAAATTTGGCAACAACCGAATGGTCGCACGGCGTTTTTACTTAGCACGGCAGTGTAGGCTTCAGCTCTCGCCTGCTGAAGTGCTGAAGCTCACGGAAAATCTGTCCTCGGGAGCGCGTCACAAAAGATCATCCTCAACGCGAGACCTTTTTTTTCTCCGCGTCATGAAGTGCGGCGTTTATTCCATTCATCCAAGCCGTTGTCAAATTGCTCCAACGCCAAAACCGCCACCCAGTTGCATAATTGCACATTCCACCGTCCTACCGAAGGAAGCAGTAACGCTCAAATCTTCGAAATCCAGTTCCCTTTAAAATTCTTTCAATCTAATGGATCGCATCTAGCGAAAAAAGAACCAACGACACTACAGTTCGTGTTCAAAAAACACAAAATCGTACATATTCCTCTTTTTCACAAAAAAAAGTAAGGGAAAAATTGATCAAAACAGCAAATACCCTCTGTTTTTCTACCAAATATTTTTTAATTTTTAAGGATAACGGTCGTGCCGATTTTATTATTCCACAAATATATCCAGTAATTGTTAAAACTAAAAAGAGGCTTCAAAAATTTTAAAAACACTGTAATCGCGTTGGTTCCTTCCTGCTAAACGCGACGAAATATGAACCGCTGATTCAGCTTGAACAATAAAATTAATCTCATTTATACCAAAACGAGATTTATGAGAAAGCAGTAACTAAGGAAAATAGGCATCGCTCTAGACAAAACAGCTGTAAGTGCACATTATTAGGATGATAATTGATATTTTCACGAAGAACAAGGGAGCCGTTCAATAGAATTTTAGACTCAGTGCATTTTCTCAAAACTTAATTTTCCCTTTTTCCTTTTTTACTTTTTTCCCTCCTCCTTCTCTCCCGTTTTTCTCCTTCTTTAACATCTTATTTTGCTTCTTACTCCCATTCCTCCTCTCCTCCATCCATCCCCTCTCTCTCCTGCTCCTCCTTATTCTTATTCATCTTTCTCCTCCTTTCCTCCTGTATCTTTTCCTGCTTCTCTTTCTGGAGGTTTTCACCCTTTCCAGTGGTCTGTCCGATACGCCGGATCCAGTGGCGTGACGTGATTTGCGATATATCGATAGTTCTGCCTTTTAAACCTATAGAAAAGGATCGATAAACAGGGTGTTCGCAGCGAACACCTTGACAATCGATTCTTTACCATAGGCTTAAATGACAGAACAATCGATACATTGCAATTCACGCCACGCCACTGGACGGATCCGTAGTTACGTCACGAGCACGACTCACATAGAGTAGACTCACAGCGTCATTTTCGAAGGCGTTCTGGCAACAGGGTGGACTCGTCGAGGGGCTGGAAGTCGCGATGGGGTTGCGCGCTCGTTCCGGGGAGGGGGTGGAAAAGGGAAAGTTCCCTCCGATAGAGCTTCCCGCGCTCTCCGGAGCTTGAAGTGGGCGTCGAGATCGACTCGAGGAGCTTTGCACTTTCGCTTTTTCGAGTGTCCACCAGTTTTTCCTGCCAGCCGCGGGTTTTCGTTTTCGTAACCGGACTTAAGGCTTGTAATTAGCTTCGTGGCGATTTTCCGTTCAAAGGGCCGAAGGAGTATCCTGTCGTGCGAAGGAAAAACGCCGTATGAACCTTCAGGCGTTGCCAAATTTCCTTTGATGAAACGCGAATTTACCGGTAAATTTATGAATATTTTCCTCCCAATTTTTCAGATAATTTAGTTCGCAATTTTACCTAAAGATTTTGAAAATTTAAGGGAAAAATATTCATAATTTTCCTAAAAACTAACATTTTATCAAAGGAACTTCGTGGCGATTTTCCGTTCAAAGGGCCGAAGGAGTATCCTGTCGTGCCAAGGAAAAGCGCCGTATGAACCTTCAGGCGTTGCCAATTAATTTCCTTTGATAAAACGCGAATTTACCGGTAAATTTATGGATATTTTCCTCCCGATTTTTCAGATAATTTAGTTCGCAATTTTACCTAAAGATTTTGAAAATTTAACTGAAAAATATTCATAACTTTCCTAAAAAATTAACATTTTATCAAAGGAAATTTGTCAACTCTCGAATGTTCATACGACGTTTTTCCTTAGCAGGGCAGTATCATCGTGGTCCATCTCCACCGACGTGTCTTGAGACGTGCCGGACTTCGAATTATCCAGAGCACACCTTGCAAAGCCTTCAATATGCTTCGATTTTTTTTTCCAATTTTTAAATTTATCGCTGTTCTTAGGATAGAAAACCGGCGATTAGTCCACTCCGGAGTCGAGGGCCTATCTCGCAACCAGGAAACGCGAGTGATATGAATGAATGAAGAGTGAAATCCGCTCCGCTCTGGAGTGAAATTGACGCCTTCTTCAAAGGTTTATATATCTTCAACTCCTGAGGAACAATGCGACTAAGGAAAACATCCTAAAATGATTCTAAAAGTTCACAAAATTTTGATCAGCGTGTCGTGTTGACCTTTTACGAGAATCCAGCACGTTGCTTAGAATTGCGGAGGCCTGCCTGGAAAATTGCGAAGGCCTGGAAAAATCCGATGCGCTATCTCTGCTCTCATTTTGTTTCCCGGCGTTTTTCGCAGATTGAACTAGTAACGCTCATCTTTTTCCTGTCTTTTTCCTCATAGCCTGGAACGCTTCCTCGTCAAAACCAACTCATCTGAGGCGGACGACTTTTTAGGATAGCAAAAATAAATGGGATTTTAGCCACATTTTTCAGTTTTTCGCGGAGTTTTCTCGCTAATAATAAGCGTTGATAAAGAATCAAGAAATTTATACCCAATCAAAAAGCAAGCCCGAACAAATGTGTAATTTGTTTCTTTTTTCTGTCGTCTCCCCAGGTGTTGAAAACCCCGAAAAAATTGTAGAAATTTTATTTAAAAAGTGAAGGTCATATTCTGTCTCTTGTAAGGTTTTACATCGGAGGTTGGTTTAGTCGAAAATCTGCGCTCTGCGGTACAGTTAACACCTGCAAAAACAGCACAAGCGGATTCGGTAATATACCGTCACCACGCTGCGTTAATCCATTAGGAAGTCCCGCCATAAGCTCCATCGACCCAATGGCATTTCCGTAATGCGCTGAACCGTCATTTCAAACCGCATAAGATCCGTTTACGCTCATCACCACAGACATATTTGCGATGCGTTTGGAACAGCCTCTTAGAAATCTCCTGGACGGATACATTGCGAAGTTTATTCCGTTGCTTAAACGCAATCCGTTGCCAGGGTGTCTACTAGTCCGGAAATAGTACTGATTTTTAAAGGGAGGTCCGGAAGTACTGAAAAAGTGCGGAAATGTTGCAAGAAAGTCCGGAATTTTTTTCATATTTGTCGCAAAATGGGGGGGGGGGCTTGGGAGGGCGAAGGCCCCCCCCAAAAAAAACTTGGGTCCTGTTTTTATAAACTGCAGTTCCGAATTGCATAATGTAGTCCAATTAATAACGCGCTGAAGAATGATATAAGCTTTAACTAATTTTTTGTTTTTGTTTTTATTGTTACAGGGAGGATATCCAGCCAAATTGAAGAAGGTGCTGATAGTCACGGCTCCTTTGTGGTTCAAAGCCCCGTTTAAAATTCTTAGGTTGTTTGTTCGGGAGAAACTTCGAGATAGAGTTTATACAGTTAGTCTACCCCAAGTAAGTTCATGTTTTTTGTCTTACTTTTTCATGCTGTTTTCTTCTCAAATCAAAATTTATCCTTCAGAAATCTGGCATTTTATACAGAAAACGAAACTGTTATTAAACTTTTTTTGAATTATTTGAGCCATAGCTGAAGTTTATGTAAGAATAGTAAAACTTAAAAATAAAATTAAAATTACATGACGATGAAAAATAGAGAATGTTATCACAATGCACGGTGGAGCATTGATATGAGTGACAACCAGCAGCCTGATTGTTGAAATTTTGTGTTTGTCGGGTAGACATAGATGACATAGGTTAAAAGGCGTAGCGTGATTCGTCTGCTATGTCTTATCGCTGCTTTGTCTTGACTGTGTCGGGTGGAACTCACGACAAGCTAAGGGCACCTCTTAATTTTCTGACAGTATGTCGTCCATTCCACATAACAAATATACGATAAAGCAGCAATAAGGCATAGCTGACCAATCACACTCTGCCTTTAAACCTATGTAATCTATGTCTACCCGACAAACACAAAATTTCAACAATCAGGCTGCTGAGGAGATCATGTCGGCAAATCCCCCTTCAGTTTTGTACTGGTGCGCATCAGGGTTCAATAAATTTAATTTTGACTCTAATTTTAATTTTTGGGATTCCTTGGCTTTGTTTTCCCCGCAAAATGGTGTGGACCCAGCACCATTTCTCCACCTTGTTACTTACAGTTTGAGCCACTTCCTAGTGTTTTTTTTTTTTCCCCCCCATTAAAATACTAATCAACATTTGTTAATGATTCTTGTTTCTTCTCTTTTGCTCTCCCGTCAGTTACCATTGCATATCCCTCGTGGATCGCTTCCAGTTCAACTCGGAGGCACTCTGGAGCCCGGTCATCATGACACTTGGTTGGAAAATTGTGCCAAACTCATGACACGAAACTGTGATTTAGAATGCGAAGATGTAGTATCAATGGACCGTGTCAACGGTACCACTCATATTGAAATAGTCTCTAATCCAAAACAGGTTAGTCACTTTTTTGTTCACTTTATTTCCCTAATATCTAGCCTTCTTGTTGGACTGAGATATTTTTTTCATCCTAAAATATTCCAAGAAGAAAAATTCAAATTTCTCTGTCGCCAGTCGTACTAAAATACCTCCCTAATATGTGAGGAAGTATCTTGAAGTAAGTCTATCTCTGGTAACATTTTTTGACTCTGTAAACTACTTTGTTATAGTTCTGTCAATCTAAATTTTGAGACTCTCAATTAGCCCATGTTGTTTGAAAGCAGCTCTTATTTGCATTTTCTATTAAATATTCCTTATTATGTGCACAAATGAAAACTCACTATAGATTATTCCCAGTATTAAGTGCTTAAACTGCAATTATTTTTTTCCTTTCTGAAACTCCTAATTATGATTCTTTGGCTTGAGGCACTAATATCAGTCAGCAGAAATGACTTAAAAAAGTTGTCTATTTACACTGTCAAGGGGCCAAGCCGTTCAGGAGGGAGTGGGATTCAAGGAGAGTGTCACGCTATTTTGTTTTTACATGTTGAAGAACCTATGTCACAAGAGAGTTGCAAAGGGGGAGAGAAAATTCTGAAATTTAGCGGTCTGTATTTTGTGAACGATCCCTAGTTGCTTACCTAACTGTAAATCTTCTCAAAAAACGGTCTCTCAAATTAAATTCTTTGTTAAAAATATTAATAGTAAATCTCAAGTGAGTGCGTGATTTTAGTAAGCAGCGTCTTTACTTTGTATCGGGGAAATAAATTATGTTTCAAAGTGTCATAATTGTTTCCTCAGGACGGTATGATGGTAGCAGAGGTCTCTGAAAGTGTGCTGTGCGGAGGAAATGTATCAGAAGAGGAGGAGGAAGAAGTCGTTGAGATAACAAACAAACATTCACCAAAGTGGAATAGTAATGCCAATGCAACTAATAGAGGTTCGTTTTGATTTCGACAAATTCCCAGCTGAAAATCAAAATTAATTGTATTTTTGACTCTCATTTTTTAAGCACTGTGATTTACATTGTGAAATTTGATCTCTCCCAGGAAAATGCTCAAAGCAAATGCCTATGTAATGCATCCTTTCATAATTAAGTATACAAATATCATTGGAGGTATCATCCTGCACCTCTCATAAGGGAATGGACTTTACTGAGTAGAGAAAGTAACCAGCAGAAGCATAGAATATGTTCCTCCCAATGTAGTAGCGTCTAAATTGGCTATGAGTCTCTCCTATGAGCTTTACATTGATGGCCAAAGTGCAGAACCATGTATTTTCATTTGTTACGTCGTAGACTTCCTGTCTTTTGTTTTTTCTTTGGAAACTTAGTAAACGTAATTTTTTTGAAAACTTCCTTAAATTTTCTTTTCAATAAGCAAGATATTCTGTTTAAATCTTGGAAAATATAAAATAGGAGGAAATCTTGGAACTCTGTAATGGAGATGAGTAGTTTCATACTTTGGATATGATATGATTTTGCTGATGCTCATCTAATACTCTGTTTATCAAGTGAGTGTCTTTTCTCTAGTGAAATTTGACTTGTTTGGGCATGTTATTTTTGAACATGCACTTATTCATGTTTTTTATGCTGTTTCAAGTATTTTATTGTTATTTTAAGTATGCTTTAGTGGAATTTTATTTTTATTTTTTTTCCTCTCCAGGAGGTGGTTCGCCAATGCCTCCAATTTCGTCAGCCAGTAGTGGATTTTCAGATGACGATAGTCTGCATTGTGACACTAACTGCGGTTTTAGTCTACCTCAATTTATTGAAATTGTTCGTTCCAAAGGAAGAGCTGGTTTAATAGCAGAATATGAGGAAATCAAGTCCAGGTCTCCGGATGGAACATTTCAGCATGCCAAGTGCGTAAATTACCTGCTTCATTTGATAATGATTTAATATGACTCTCTTGAGCAGAAGTGAATTCTTTGTCAAATTCCTGAAATTTTCACCATCCATTGAACAACTTTTTGGGCAGTAAAAAATGTTCCGACTAAACTTCTAACGTTCTTCAAACACAAAAGCAATGCATTTTTTCATATATCTCTCTTTTATCTCTGTAGTAGCTGAATTTTAAAGCTCCTTATTTCAAATGCAATTTTGCAAAATTTTGGCTCTTGATGTTTTTATAAAAAGTAAAACTAATCAGATGTTTGTCTTCAAATTCTTGCAGAGTGACCATAAAAAGGGTAAAGACCACTCTTCAACCACTACTTTCAAGCCATAATTTTGATTTATGCTCCCTCTAAAAACAATATGACAATACACGTTTTTGGTCAAAAGGAACTCTCTTAAGTTTTTGAGTCTTGCAAACCAGTTGCATAATTGCCCCCAAAATGCTACTACTTATTTGGTTCAAAAATTCGTTTGCAGAATTTGCAAATTTCTTCATTTTAGTTTAAACAAAAGCGAGGTAAAATATATATCTTTCACTGTACACAAATGAAGTACCAAGTCAGTTTCTCTGTATTAACTAATTTTCCTAAAGTATTTTTAATTTTTTTTCTCTTCGTATTTCAGAGCCCGAGCAAACACGCCAAAAAATCGCTATTCAGATGTTTTATGTTACGATCATTCTAGGGTATTGTTGTCTCAAATTGATGATGATCCCAATTCTGACTACATAAATGCCAATTTCGTAGATGGATATAAGCAAAAAAATGCTTTCATTTCAACGCAAGGTTTGTAATTTATTTGACCGATACACCATGTTCACCTCTCTCGTGATTTTTTATGTTGAATTTAACACAATCTAGAGGTCTCCCTCAAAACAATGGTTCATCTTTAAGCGTCTCTCTACATCTTTTCCATAGATTTTTGCTACCTCTCCATGCTCTAATCAGTTTCTTATATTTTGCCGAAACCTTGTCACAGCAGCATGAAAAAGGCGAAAAAGAACAAGGTAAAATTTGTCATATACATTGCTCGTGCTGGAACAGGGGTAGTATCGTAAGTTACAATATTGCAGAGAGACAGGGTGTGCTAAGAAACTACAAAGTCATCAAGTACAGGAAAACCAGGACGTTTTGAGTTAGTTACCACCTCATTTCCAACCAGAAAGGAGAATTAAAAAAATAGTTTTTTTATTTATGTTTGCCTAGTTTTCCGGTTTTTTTTGTTCGTCTGGTTGAAAATGAGCTGTAACTAACTCAAAATGCTCCGGTCTTTGTGTACTTGATCCCTTATATTTTGCAGCAGCCTCTCTCCCGATGAAGTTGTTATTTTACTGGGGATTTTCTTTTTTTGCTATTTAAGTTCCTTCATTCTACATAGCCACCGATGAATTCTGAACTTTTCAGAATATTTTCAGGTGTTTTCAGTTGGAAAATCTCTATAAATCTTGAGGCTAAGGAAGAGTTCAACTGATGCAGCAGAACTGGCAATTAAAATCAACTGATTTGAGAAGTTTAGTTCAAATCAAGTTTTGTTCTTAATCCTCATTATCTTAGTTCTTATAAAACTTTTATTTACCTTTATTTATATTATGGTACTTAATTGTGTGTTTAATTTCTACTTTTTCAGGTCCTCTGTATAAGACGAGTGGTGATTTTTGGCGAATGGTATGGGAACAACAAAGTTTAGTTATAGTCATGACAACTAGAGTGAAAGAAAGGATGAGGGTGAAGTGTGATCAATACTGGCCGGAAGAGCAAGGCATGGATGTAACGTATGGCAACTTCCTAATTAGTAATTACAATGTGGAGTCACACGCAGATTTTATTATTACTAGTCTACTATTATCTAATACAAAGGTAATCACCATGCTTAATTAGTCATATTTATTCTTAAAATAATATTAAGCGTGCCATGCGCCATGCACATGGCACGCTTATTGTAATCGCCGAGAACTCAGCTGTTTGGCTGATGTCTTCTGGTCAATTGTTGAATCGTTATCGAATGATTATCTTAGCAATGGTTTTGATCGATCATGCTCATTCGATATTGACTCAACAATCAAGACACTATATCGAGCCTCATAGCTCGTTCGATTATTTTAAAGCCGTTTTTGTAGCGGGAACCTATTTGAATTTTTGTATCGTAGTAAATAATTCTTGATAGCATTTAGATTTCTGGTAATTGTTTTTTAATCAATGCCGTCATGAAAGGAGCCCATTAAATCCTTTTCTGTGGCTATAGAGTTCTTTAATTTTTACGTATTTATTAATTTGTTCCAAGCTGAGATATAATTTAAAAAACTAACCTAAATTTACACCTGCAAAGCATGAAACCTTGCATGTTTTATATTAGAGTTTCTGATTGGTTATCATTGTGCGCAACGGAGCATTACTTTTGTATAACGTTTGAATCTTGTATATGCGCCGCTATCGATGACTTCCGTACCCCATCAACTACCATGAGCAAAAAAGTTAGGATAAAGAAACTCGGTGCCAATGGTTTCTTTATTGGACAATTGCGGCGCATTACGTGCGAAATGAACGACTGCTCACTGCTTTCAACTGTATAAACCCGTTTATTTTTTGCGATTCAAAATTAAAAAAATCCTCTTTCGAATATAGAGCTGAGCGTTCAGATTGCAACAAGTTTCATGCGATTGTACAATGTCAGTGTTTTTATTCTTTTCTAAGTGATTAGTAGTTGAAAGTCGCCTTTGACTTACATTCATACCCATACCTGCTGGCCTGCTTAACCTTAGCAATAACCGTTGAAAGATCCAAAAATCTTTGTAAAAATACTTTTGCAATTGAATGCAATAAAATTTTTATTTTTAACTAAAATTGCAAGGTTTTTACACCATTCGGTTAGTAAATGCAGAAGTAATCATTCCATAAAACCTATTCCATGCACGAGAAAGGTAGGCAATTTGGAGTACAAAAGAGCCTAGGATGCCATATTAGAGCAGTGAGGTATTATTGAAGACTACCTCAAGATTTTAGGGCGATTATGATTCGTCAGATTGCTAGAAACAAGCTTAAAACTAAGTATGATAATAGAGATATATTCTTCAGGCGCGCTCTTCCAACACCACGTGTTGGATTTATCTGCTTGTTTTAAGTCTAAAGTGGGAATTAGTTTGTCTCTTTTACTGCAATCTCATGTAGAGGATGGGAACATCAAACCTCATGCTTGCACAAGCTAGCATGTATAATTTTATTACCACTAGTTCCTCTGATAGTTCCACCTTTTAGTCTGGTTTGAAATTCATTTAATTTAACTATGTTCACTTGATACTGATTAGTAGTATGATTGTGTTTGAAAGATGTTAACGGCTCCAGCTGAAAATTTCATTTCTTATCATTTCAGTATTCCTTAAAAGTGAGTTGATTTTCAGGTTACAAGTATAAAATTGTTTTTCCTGTTCTCTTTCAAGAAGTAAACTCCTTTTAATTAATTCATTTTTCATGACAGACTGAAGAGATTCGAGATGTGACACATTTGCAATACACATCTTGGCCGGATTATGGGGTCCCGCACAGCGCCAACGCCATGTTGGGATTCATCGCCAGAGTCAGAGACTGTCAATCATCCATGTTGGGAGCTTTGGGTGATACGTGGGCTGGGCATCCTCGAGGTCCACCCATTATTGTACATTGTTCTGCCGGCATTGGTCGTACAGGTAATTATCATTGTATGCCTAAATTATGTTGCACAAAATTCTCCAAAATCAAAGATTAGTATCCTTGTGGAGTGGGATTTATGGTTTTCCTTCTTTAATTTTACTGGCAAATACCAATTTTAGGCTCTCTTGTAGTTACAGTCACAAAAAAAATAGAGCAAAGGTATACATAATTCGAAAAAAAATAATAATATAACAAGACGTTCCAACGCAATTGCATTGGAGGGCGCTTCTCTCTCGTTGGAAAGGAGCGCCAGTAGAAAGCAAGACAGAAGAAAGTAATATAGTTGCCCATACTTTTTCTGTCAAAAAAGAATCATGAAAAAAAATTCTCCCCCGCGAGGTATGGAACCCCAACCTGCGGCATTATGTCCCGGCGCGGTGCGGTTGAACTTGGCTTTGCTGGAAGCGCTGTTGCAGATTGAGAAACTACTCTATTTAACTAAAAAATTAACTTTTAGGTCAGAAAGTCAAGAGGCGTGTTCAGAAATTACGTGCGTTCATTAGCCACATGTTTCACAGCTGTTTTTCGAAGCTCCACGGTAGCGTACTGTCCCAATGGATTGACCTTGAGGCATATTAGTATTTGGATTCTCATGAATTAAATCAATCAATTGTTTAATATAAGCGTCTAATTTTGGCTTTTATGACGTAATGGATCTTCTAGAGCAATTTTCCACCATGTACAATGCTCATTATTTTTTCTTTTTATTTTCGAAATTTGAGGTGAGATAATAGCAGTCACAGAGAAAGCCCACTTGTAAAATAAACCAATCACAGAAAAGCACAGCAATACATCTTTGAATGATGAGATCACGTCACTGCAGCTAAATTTTTCAAATTCAGTCGGAAAGTACAGATCAGACATAAATATTTAAGCATGACGAGGACCTTAAAATAAAGTAACCCGGCAGTAAGTCTGTGCAGAATTTTTTTGCCAAAAACTCAACATTCCACGCGAATTTTTAAATACAACAGGTAGTAAACAAGATCAATATTTTATCACCTTTACCAAAATGGCGTTATTTTTTATAAAAGAACACGCTATATCCCATGTATACATGTTACAACGAGGAGTCCGACGGCTAGAGAGGACGCATCTGGTAAACCAGAAGCGCCCAAGAAGATTAAATGACCTATGCAAATTATTGAACTCAATAAATTAAGATCAATTTTTAAACTTATGTAAGAAGTATGCAAAAGTGTTATTTCGCCCTCCGAAGTAGCCTTCCAAATTTTTTGGTGTTAACCAAAAGACACTCTGTACATTAGTCCAAAGTTAAATAACCTTATTTCAATGTGATTTGATTTCTTTCACAGGTACTTTCTGCACACTAGACATCTGCATTAGCAGATTAGAAGATAATGGAACTGTTGATGTCCGGGGAACAGTAGAAAGAATTCGTTCTCAAAGAGCGCACTCTATTCAAATGCCTGATCAGTACATTTTTTGCCATCTGGCACTAATCGAATATGCTTTAGACAAAAAATTAATAGTCTCTCCGCCGGACCTCACATCCTTCGAATTTACTCGCAGCGATGAGTCAGAGTAACTAGTTGTGATAATATGTTCAAAATTTCAATTATTTTTGGTGAAAAGTTGTTGATATTCAAGTTAGTCGTTTTCCTTCTTTTTCTGAGAACCTCTTACGGATCTGTTTTTTGTTTTCTTCTGCCTCTGTCTCGAGTGTCTGAAATTTACCAAAGGTGCATGTCTTGCTGATCCAATCAGTAAAAAATAGTCCCCCCCCCCTCCTTCTTTTACTTTTTCTGTATTTCTTTGTTTTTGTATCAGTATATTCAAAGTCCCTCATAGAATCAGAAATATTGAGTGAAATTGTGTGTAAGATGTCTAGCTCGGACTCAATCAGACTTTTAAACCTCTCAGGGAAATTTTTTCCTCCCTTTTCTACAGCACCTCATTAAGACTGGTAGCTCTTTAACTACGTTTTTAACTTTCACTCCTTTTTTCATTTCTTTTAGAGACCTACAAGGTTTTTCATACTTTTAAATGTCACAGCTATTTTGAAAAGAATGTAGCTCATTCTTTTAAAGCAAGTAATGCTAAAAGTCTTTTTGGCTCAACTACATATTTGTACCAAAATTATTGGTAGTCCTTGCTGAATCTTGAGGTTGATCGTTGCGTATTTTTAAATCAAAACAAATAAATATTTAAGTCTGAAAATGCCAACACGCAAAATTGTCTCTTTACTCAGTGACATATCATTTATTGATTAGATGCATTGCCAAATTTTTAAAAAAAATGGTAATAATCAATGAGATGCATCCCTACAAAATTAGTTTTCAAAGCATTCTCCATATTTAGTTGAGTTTTTAGGTTTTTACGAAACAATAATTAATGCTAATCAATCAGTCAACCCTCTGCAGTGAATGAGTCGAAAAAATGTCAATGATGTAAGACATGATTCTTTTTTTCTGCACCCTGCGTTGCAATTTTGGGCACCAATATTATTTTTCCGGGGATTTTGTGGAATTAGATGAAATATCATAAATATTTCCATACATGCATTGATAGTTCAGCCATAACCTCTTGTTTAAAGTTACTGCAAAGGGAGCATTTTCAAAAGTAGTAGTGCTTAGCTGCACAACTGTAAAAGTGTAAAAGCTAATAGTTCTTTTACTCATTCAAAAAATCTGGTCCTGATCAGTACCCAGTAGAATTTTGCAAAGCATCTAATTTATTTTGGTTCCTGAAAATCATATTTTTAATATTCGTTTCTTCGTCTTCAGTCCTCCTCCTTTTAAAACTGATTTCCTTTTATAGTGCCAAGGAAGATTTCCTCTCTTGCTTCTACCTGATTTTGATGCCAAAGTTTTGGAAATATTTTCAGCAAATGTGTAAATTAGGCAAGTGACTAATAAGGCTTCCTGATAAAAAAAGGAAACTGCAATTTTCCAACACGCTCTCCAAAAAAAATAAAATAAACAAGTTTTAACTTTTTTTTATTTTTCTGAACTGTTCTGATCCAGTTTGACTTCAATAACATGGCACAGAATATAATTATCCTTTTGAAATTAAATGTTTCTATTCTCATGTCCATCAAGAGACAAAATTCAAAAAATTAAATCTCATTTACCTTTTCAGTAAGAAAACAGTCATGATCAGGAAGTAAAGAAAGTCGGAATTGAAGTACACATCCTCCTTGTTTATCCCTCTCAAAACTGTGTGTCGGAAACTTGGCATATTAAAAAAAGTCTGAAAATAAATTTAAAGGCGAGCATTAGAATTGTTGCAATTTTGTAAACATTAAACACATGCAGCATTTTAAAACACAGATGAATCTTTACTTACCTATGATTTTTTTATGCTATTTGGTTAAGCTTGCTTTTGTGCAATCTAGGAAGCAGTATTCTGCAAAGAGAATTTTGAAAGAAATCTTCATACGTAAAATACTTTACTTGCAACTGATTCATCTGTGTCTAATATTGTATGAGCCAGCTTTTTTTTAATTAGTTCAAAATTGATATTCCTAAATTATCTCTTTTCTTCCACAAGAGGTATCTGCCTTCATTTCCTGAGCATTAAAATTGAAGCCCCTTTTGTTTGCCATAAAACGATTATTCTTACTCAGACTTTAATTGTAATTTTATCCTCTTAAAATTGAGTAAAATAATTTCTGCCATTTTTCTAATTAGGTTATTAACTGAATATTCAATAATTTTCACTATCTTTTTTGCTTGAGATCGCATTGTCAGTTTGATTGGTCCTGATTTTTTGAGCACTGCATGACGACTTTCGAAATTCAAAGGCTTTACTGGTGCCTTTTGGAAGGTTTTGAGCAGTGAGTGCCTGTACTCTTCGCCAGAAAGAAAAGCAATCAAAATTTTTAGTAGTTAGTAGTGTCTAAGCATATGGCAGAAAAGCATTTTTCAATTTATCTCCTACTCCTATGTTGTAATTTTAATGTAATTTTCAATGCAGGGGCCTTAAACTCTGTGTTTGATGTTAGTTAAAAAGGAATATATTTTTGGTTTTTCAATAATGATCCCCCTCCCCCTCTTTTTTGGTTGCCAATTTTAAGAGTCATCTTCGTGTAAAGGCTGGACGGTAAAGGTCATCTTTTCAAAGCCGTGTAACAACTGAAAACATCCATTTTAATTTCTTGCCTTGTTGAATCTCAAACATAATTTGTTTTCTTGTTACATCTTGTACCAGGCACTTCAAGTTACTTGGTTGTATGGAAAATATTAAGAATAAATTCTTCTGTTTTTATCCTGCTGATTGTTGGAAATGTAAATGACCATATGTAATAATGTACCATTTACAAAATGGTACTCTCAGGTGCCAGGATGAATGATATTAGTGTATTTTCTAAAGGGAAAGGAAAATACAATATTGAATAGTTTTCATTCTTTCCGCTCTTTGTTTCACATTTTAGTCATTAAATTTGTAATATTCTCTACTGATTTTAAAAATGAACTCTTTTTTCTTTATTTTATTCTCTATGAATTCAATGTGCGTCTGGAACGCTATTTGATTTTAATTTCCCTCTTTCTGACTAATCTTTCTAACTTTTCAAAACATCATGCCAGGTACTTCTTTTTGCCGCTAATTTTGTTAAGTTTTTCAGCCCTCATCAAGGTAGTACATAATTGTGAACTTATCATTGTTTACTTTGGGGGAGATTCTTACATTCTATTGTAAAATAATTTCAACGTTAATCCATAAATGATCTTTATTCTCATACGTCAAATTATGTAGGAGCTTACAATCTAGTCATATTTAAAAAAATTTCTAACATAGATAAAATTGTGTCATCGCTGTAACTTGAAAACTCTTTGGATTTAATGATATACATTTTGCTCCAAAAATTGATTTTTTACAAATGGAAGTCAATTTTGCTTTAATCTGGCTTTATAATCGCTTCTCATTTGTGGCATTAATATCGATTGAGAATCATGATTGTTTTAAGGAGCTGTTTGGATATCAGTAATTATTATACATCTATAGCTTATTGAAACAATATATTCACAAGTCTTAAACAAATTACTCAGTTCATTTCTTCTTCTTTTTTTCTATAATCCTGAAATATTCGATAAAACTGTAAGCGATTTCAACATTTTATGTTTAAGCTCTAATCATTCCCCCTCCTCTTCGTTGTATTAATCCTTTCTACTCTAAAAGAAATAATAAAAAGAACATCATGAAACCGATAACATTTGACCACTTTCAAAGCCTGAATCAATTTACCAGGGATTGAAAAACAGCATGAAAGGAGGCATAGAAAAATTGTTAGACTCAAAATTGATTGCCACTAAACCGCGTCCACTGCCAAACTTTCTTTAGTTCAACTATGAATTAGGTGTAGCCTCCTTTCCAATAATGCTTCGATCATGCAAAAAAAATTTAAAACTGTCCTTTTTTTCAGACTTCTATATCAGCTCGATCGGAAAGTTTCAGTCTTGAGTTCTGAAGGCTGCATGTATTTTGACAATAATTAAAAGTTGGGCCTGACTAGCTCAGATTTTTTCCAATTCTCCTTGGACCAATAAGGAGTTGAAGAAGAAAAGAACAACACGTTTATTGCATATATGCATGAAATATCAGGAAAATGAAGGTTTCTTTGTGCCTCTTGTCCCCTGTTTTGCTGCAAGAGGGCATCTCACTTTTCAATGAGTTAAATTTATTGATTATCAATTAATTATCCTGTCGCATTTCACTGAATTCTTGTGTTTGATTTTAGTAACATCGTTTTCTACCTGCCTTGTCTGATCATACCTTCTGTTGTAAAATTGAGAATTTCAAGCAATGACGCAGCTTGTTTCCCTGTTATATGTTAACAAATGAATGAATAAAGTAGGAACGGTAATTTTGAAACCTTGCAATTGAGGTGAATGATTTCAGAGCTTAGTTATTGGATTACTTTTAAGGTTCTGATTGCATTCTTTTTTAATCATGTGAAATGTTATGTTAGATCCCTCTGGAATGCCTGGTTACAGGAATCGGCTCTTTCTAAGTATGGTTTTATTCCTCTAGTAATATTGAATTATTTGTGAAAGTGTAATTTGACTGTACATATTTATTTCAAAAGAAGAGATGATTTTCTTTTGTATATAGTGTATGATAGTTATTATAGATTTGAATCTATTTGTTGATGAATTTTTGTATACTAATACCTAGCAAAGATTATAACAAATTCCTATGTATGAATTTGTAACACACGAATACCTATTCTGTTCGAATGATGACCGTATTTTTTTTTCTTTTTCCAAAAACCAAATACTTATTATATATTTTATATGTATCCTAAATTTTTCTTTGATTCTTTCCCCCTTTCCTGGAGGATCACATTTTTAGCATATTTTTTGAGGAAAATCGGACCAGCCGTTCAAAACTGGCAACCTTCGAAAGTTATAGGCGGAGAGTGCGAGGCATGAGAGGAGCGGATCTGCTCAGCCGGTCTTACCTAGGTGGAAAGTTTTTGATAGACTGTTCGTTGCACAGTGGGTCAGAGACAAAAACACTTTGAATACATGCTCTGCTGCACAGTGAACAGACGTCTGTCTCTCTGTGGATTACAGGAAGAAAGCTCCCTAATGAACTCCTTAAACCCTGATTTAATTTAAAAATTGGTAACTGTCAACGAAGCCCCATTAAAATTATCGCTAGTTTGATGCATATTATTTTGGAAAGTACACTCTCCTTGTGGTGGATGCGCAAGTCCCTCAAAATTGTGCAAATCAACTAAATTAGCACAATCACACTAAAAACGAATAAAGTTTTCATCCAAGAGACTAAGCCATTCCAGTCAAATAGCACTGTTTTTTTATCACTCTATTTCATGTCTACAACATGTATAGGATCTTTGTTAAGTTGATTCAACTATTCTTTGACTCTCAGCTATTTTTGCAGTTTTTACCATATTTTCATTAGGTAAACATGATTTTCCAAGAATAAGTTTGGCCAAAAAATGAGACACCTTATGACCTTAGTTTATGAAATGTTAAAAGTACAGGCTGTAATTTTCTCGAAATTAGTCAGAAATCAGTCCTAAGTCTCAAAAAATCCCTTTTAGTTTGGTTTATCATTAGTGGCGGTGAAGAAGAGGGAATGAAATTGAGGATGAAAAATTTCGATCTCAGACAGCCATCTACATCAGCCTAGTAGAAATTTTTTGAACAATAAATGAGGAGGGTAAGAATATAAAAAAATAAGTGCGCTCCCGTTTGTTCATGTGTTCTTTCACAGTCTGTAAAAGACTACATAAATAGTAGCTCTATATCTTTTCTCCGGTTATAATTTATTACCTCAGTGAGTTACCCTCGAATATTTTAAAAGTGTCAAGTATATGTATCCGCAAAAACAATCGGAAAAGCCATGGCAGAGCACAGCAAAAATAATTTTACTCTTGTTTGCTTTGGAATATGTGCCTTGATGAGTGTCACTTGCCATTTCCTCATTGCTTGTCCAGATTACTTCATCACCACTCAGGAAAAAGGTAAGTACTTCTCCTTTCATTTATATAGTCATTTATATGACCGCCTTAATATTTACAGGGGACACATTATATTTTCCTTTTGTACTTATTTTTTTTTTTCATTAATTTAAATGAAAATAATCCATGCAGAGTGTGTAAACATTTCAGAATCAAGAGCTGAAAAACGCTGACTCCGCGAGCTTAAATATTAGAGCCGGGGCTGCCAGTACGAAATGCTCACGCGAAACGCGCCTACAAACCTACAGAGATACTTCAAGCATTGCGCAATGCGTGAAGTATCCCTTTAGGTTTGTAGGCACGTTTTGCGCTGGCTGACAGGCCGGCGCAGCGCCTCAAGCAACTATTTCACAATAGAGATGTTGCATAGAATCTGACGAAATTGAAGGCGCTCCAACATACTAAGAATGACTGGCATAATCCCTTATTTACGCAAAGAATAATACACTTGACTTGCGCAACGAATTCATGAGAACGCATTTTTGAAAAATGATGATTTCTTTTGAATACGCGCCAATCGTATGATGAGGGGTGATTACTCAAACGAGGGATTTTGATGCTTGGTGTTGATTCGGTTGTAGGCTGCAGTGATAAAAAATTTCAATCATAAAAAGTTGCTCCAAAGCGTTCTCGATCGTTTTTATGTTTTTTCAGTACATTGAGTAGTTATTTGAATAGTAGTGTTTGTGAGAAACTGAGAAAGTGCCCGGCCTTTCGTTTGTAGAAATTATACGTGTAGAGTAATTCCTGCCTACCTCAATTAGCGTAGCATTTTAGCCGAGCATCCCGGGGTCTGGGGTGGCAAAATGGCGTGTGTTTTTTTGGTGGTTTTATTAATTTAAAGTGCGAGAGGTTTGTATTCTTCAATTGTACATACGCTTATTTTTCTCCTCCTATCCATCATAATGCGACAGACACTAATTTTAATCGTCCGTGCAAAGACCTTTCTGCACTACAGCGGCTTCTCCTGTATCCTGATATCTGAGAGTTCTTGTTCGCGCTTCATTGCTCTCAATGCAGCTCGAAATTTATTCTATATTTAGCTCTTAGTGCCCAATCAGCATTTATTTCACTAGTTCTTAAAAGATGTAGAAACATTGAGATAACTTACATTTGTGTGTAAGGTGGAAGCTGTTCGGACATTGGTACCTGTCCACCCCTCACACTAGAGCGTGGCTAAGTTAGGGGTGCTCTCCAAGAGGGGTAGAGCACATTTCTATATTGTGCGCAGAGAGATACAAGAAAATTTTTCTGAAACGGTCTTGTCTAGTAATTATTTTGGACCACTTTATATCTTTAGAATATCTTAAGCCAGTATACCTAGCAACATCTCCCTACATTAGTGTTGGTTGGAAATTTAGCTTTTTTATCTGTCACTGTCGATAGTAAACTTATGATGTAATCCTGAATTGATGTTCACTCTACATAAGGGTTTTCTCTCTGTCTAGTCAGCAAAAAATTATAATGATTGGCAACGCATTTTTAGCCTAGTCCTCATGCATAGGGCTTTTTTTTATCGCATGAAACGCAATGGATCGGGATCTTTGCGGTTAAGGCTCGTTCAACCAGCCTGACGGCAGCCTCAACCCACCTCTGAAGAGCGGTCCAAGCGTTCTACTGGAACGCGCCAGTGGAACAGGGTAAAAAAGTGATGCATTCCGAAGCAATCCTCTGCGGTTCTGATAAAGAAAAGCCCTCATGATCCAAGGCTTTTAGACGAGGAACTACATTTTAGACAGAACCCTGGACTGCTTTGTCAGTCTGTCATTTGACGCTAATTTCCTTCGTATTTCACTTTGATTCCTTGGTATTGAAATATCCCAATGTGTCACAGTGCACCACAGTAACTATTATTCCCTAATTAGCCATTAGTATATGAGCAAACCTTGCTACAGCATCATAAAGTCTGTGCTGTCCTGTTGGTAGGAAGCCTGTATGATACTATGAAAATAGAGCTCTCAAAGTGGCGTCAAGCGGAGTAATGTGACCCTTAAAGATAGTCAGTCCAACAAGTTTTTAGGGTTACCGAGTGTCACATGACTCAACGCGACGCCACTTTGAGAGCTATACTTTGATCGTAAGAGCTGTAAGCTGATCATCAACGTACTGTTTGGGTCTGGCTTTAATGTAAATACTTGTAAATCTCTTTTGTCTTTTTTATCAGTAATATTGGATAGTGTCTATAGAATGAAAGCTGAATATAAATAACAATTACCTGCAGTATTTTTTCAGACGTCTCTCTTAGGCTTCACAGATATCAAAGGGTAAACAACTAGATAATGGAGAAAGTCAGCAGAATCTTGATAGATAGATAAATAGACACATTTTTTCTGAGATAAAATTGAGAACATAAGACACAGTGGACACTACAAGCAAAATGAAGCTGCCATGAGCACATGCTTGAGCGATGGGTGTAGCTTTATTGCACAATGAAAAGGAATTGAACAGAAAAAATAATCTAGTTGGAACTTCCACCTATTACCTCTTGCAATTCGCAATAATTGGTGTTTCATTCTAGTTTGCCTTTTTTTTCAGTTTAATTTGATTTTCTACCGTAATGTACAACGGAATCGGACTGCAAACTCCCCGAGGCTCTGGGACCAATGGTTATGTTCAACGCAATTGGGCGTCTGTTCGGAAACCAAAAGATAGAACACAGTATAAAACTGATGAAGAATTAAAGCGGTTAGATGAAGCGAGCAATAAACAGCCTAACCGAGAAATCTTAGATCATGAAAGTAAACGTAAAATTGAAATCAAATGCCTACAACTTGCAGATGCTTTGACTGATCAAGGGTAAGTTCTCTCCTAATTTTTTTTTCTGTAATTTTTGGGAAGCATCCATTCCAAATCAAGTGTGCTGTTAAAAGAATCTCTGTTAAATTGAAAATACAAAAGTTGTTTTCTGTTTCAATTTTCTCCGAAATTCATACTTGTTAAAGTAAATCTTTCCCATCAAAGTGTAACATAGCTTTATTCTTTTTGCTGACTAACATTTTTTTATCTCTAGAAACCTAAATTTTTCAGTTAGCACTTACTATTTTGCTATTAATTTATCTGGCAAAGAAATATATGTATTTATTCGAATGATAATGCCGGCTAGTGTGAGTAAGCAGGGGTGCAGAAATTTTCATAAATACTGATTTTTGCTGCAATATGGTACTCTTGCCTCACAACCATATTTTCGATTTGCCTCTTGGCCAAATGTCTCATTTTACTCATGGTAAAATTTTCCCCTCTTTTCATGGAATTGAGCAAAAATAACACAAGAAAAAAATTACCATTTTTTAAAAGTGCCTCACAACCAAAGATTTACGTTTGTCACGATCCTAGGATTGTAAGATGAAGTGTTCTCTGCACCTCTGCCTGTAAGTATTATCATAGAAAAGTAACGAGAGGAATTTTACTTTATAATGGTTTTTGAGTCTCTCTCCCCCCCCCCCCCNATATTTCAGCTTTTCATTCTCATTTTGAATTTTCACCTCGACATTGTTATTCGGAAATGCTTTTTGCTGGAGACAGAAACAACTTTATCAATGACACTTCACCTAGGATTTTAGAAAATGGGTTTGTTTGAATTTGATGTCGGCCCAATAAAATTAAGCTGAACCCTGGAACTCAACTTACATTTTAATTTGGCAGGTTCACAAATGATGAAATAGCTCAAAAAGTGGATGATTATCGCTTGACACTGATTGGAAATAAGAAGCCTGTTGATGAAATTCCACGTGATGAGTACGGAAGGATTGCGTAAGTTCTGAAAATAAATTTTATGATCAATACTTAATTTTTTTTTAAATTAGTTTTTGATCAGTAGAAATGAAGCACAGGGGAAATGGTAGACTCAAATTTACTCTCAAGGAAAGTGTGAATTATCTTCACCAGCTCCGCCGCATAATTGACTCATTTATCAGATATTAATACAAAATACCGTTACGTATTGAAATGTCTGGCTTTTTGGAAGTGTTGAGATGTGTTGTTAAAGTAAAAAATTTGAGTCAGCGAAACGATGTCAGTCTGCCATTTTCATTTATCAGCTCAGTGATGATGTAGATTTGTTAGCAAACTGGTCTTAAATCAGGTCATATAGGAAGGTTAGCCACACAGTGAGCCTCATACCCTTGCTGAATCCTTGACTGATTTTGAAAACAAGGTAGCTAGTCATCAGATAATGCTAGTGGATCCCCAATCAGATACTCAATGCTTTTCAGTATTAACCTCTATCATTTTGTCAAGTGATTGGGAAAAATAAATGAAATTTCAACATATAGTATGACCTCGATTAATTGGATTGCGGTTTAATGGATCAATCTTCCAATCCCTTCAAAGGTTTCACGCTATTTGAAATAAGTATCGGATCAATTTGTCAGTCCTGTAAAATACCATAAATGGAAGTCTTACTGTAGACATTGGTCTAAAGTGAAAGTTTAGCATCCAGAAAACATGGGAAAAATTGCTTCGAGACAGGCGACTTTCACACACTTTTTATCTAAAAATTGTATATTTTTATAGATCTTCAAAGTTATTTACTGTTGATCCTGTTGTTGTTCGTATTCTTTTAAAGAGCGCATAATTATTTTAATGTGATACCAGAGTTCTTGCCATCAATATTTTCTTCAGCTACCTGTTGCACCAAATTTTGAAAGGAATGAAAGAGATGGTGACTTGAATAAATACTGGCAGACATTGCATTGTAAGAGGGGCCGAAAATCAAGTAAAACTAAAAATCGAAACTTTCAATTCTCTTGGTACCTTTAAATTGGTCCATCTTAAGTTGCTTGTTTATTTCAAAAGCCAATTACAACACAATCAGATAGAGTTAAGCAAAATAATTACATCTACATTGCGGTTTTTCAAAATCTCATCTCCCATTCAATTTTTTAGAAGGCTACTAACCAACATCTCTCGAGTGAAAATGATTGCAAATTTTCTCACCCACATGGAAGTCATTTCCACAAAATTTAAAGCTGAAATGTTGCTTGGTTTCCTTCCAAAAAATTACAATAAAAGATGAAATTCTGAAACAACTTAAGACTGTTTGGCTTAACTCAATCTAATGGAGGAAAAGGGGAGGGGGATCGTGGGTTTTCTTAAGTTTTTACCAATTTTCGAAAAACCTTGTCTGATGGTATTTCAATCCTATCAATAGTTTAAATTTATTTTTGAAGAATCAGCCTTCTGTAGAAATCAGGATGTATGGAAAAATTACAGATGTACTGAAAAAGAACAGATTCTAGGAAGTTAGCATGAAAGTACAGAAAACGCACAAAGTTTTCATGTACAGGTGTGGCAATTCGAGATTTTTTCATTAAACTTAAAGGCAGAGCCTCGGATGTATGTGTTTTTTGTACATGATTTACCATACCATGTTTCCTTGATATCCCAATTAAATTCTACATATTTTAGTTCATTCTCGTAAAGTGTCCGTATTCTGTTTTCTAAATCCCAATCTCTCTATCTAATGCAAAACTGCTTCCGTCAGATTTCAACATGTATGTCAGGTGATGAAAAAGTGAGGGATCCAAGAAACCTCTGAAAAGAGCATTTCTGTTTTGGAAGTATGAAAAAAGTCAAGATAAGGTAATGAGAAAGCAAGGATTTTAGATCTTGACGTATCAGGTGACACTCTGAGGAATTGAACCAAGAATAGATGTAGATTTGAGCAAATTCATTTGGCTGGCAACTGTTCTCCTTGTCGCCAGCATAACATACAAAATTTACAAAATAATACAATTTTAAAAAGGTCAAACTTAAAAGATTGTACATTTCAACATTTAGCATATTATTATTTCTAAATTCAAAAATAGTACAAGCATATTTAATAATAACAAGTAGGAAACAAAATAAAAAAAAATAAATTACACCTATCTTCATAGCTGCCTTACAAAACTAATTTTATTTCCTCTGAAAACCTTTAAATTAATTTCTTTGGCGCATCAATTAGGTAAATAATTAAAAATGCTATTAGATGGCACCATAATATATCTACATATTGTATATGGCCGTTCTACATATGAACAGGGATATAAAATTGAATGCTACCAGTTTCAGGTATGGATAGAGGTAGAGAAAAATAATAAATCGATACACACAGGCCTAAAGCTCCTGTGTCTAAATGTGAAACATTATTTATTCAAGAGTTCATTTCCTGAAGTTTCTTGAATTATTTCCCCTTCCATGAGTTTGGGTAGTCCAGTGGTGGCACCCACCTCAACCATAAATATATGTTTTCCTCTTTGATTTTAACCTAGTAATAGACAAATAAGCTGGATGCAGTGATTCTCTATAGGCACATATTGGATCAATGATGCTAACCCATTAATTTAACATGACAAATACAAGTTTGTAATGTAGGCAACCCACCCTGCAGCAGCTGCCCTTTTCATCTGTCTCCCCTCCAAGGCATCCCCTCTTCTTTTCAACTCACCCCTTGCTAAGCCCTGCCATTGATTTCTCTGCCCCTCCCCTCCTGTTCAGCCCTCTCACAAGGATTCTGCTCCTTGCTCCTTTTTGCATAGCCATATCCCTTGCTCATGTCGCACCTTTCATACTGAAGTATTAAAGGCTCTTCACAGAATAGCCATGTTTTCATCCCTCAAGTGCCTTTATGTAAATATTTACTCTAGTAGATATTTTTCCCTCTTGAGTCTTCCATTAAGAACCAAAACTCCTTTTTTATCTACCAGACTTTGATGTCAAAGCGAGTGCAGATATTACTCATAAATGTGAAAGTGCTGAAACCAAGTCTTCCAATTTTTTTTCGTACTAAAATATTTTATTTCGTTCAGCTTCTGAAACTGATGAAAGTCGAAGCTATTTATTTTATTGTGGCTATTTTAGTTTTAAAAAGTCTGAAAAATACAGAAACTCTATGTGTGCTGAATGGTAAATCAATTGTATGAACATTCTATCGAACGTTTTGTGTCTCCATTCTAACCTAAAGTCTCGTGCCTTTTCCTGCATTCGAAGTCTTCCAGTCTCGACAGTTTTATGAGAGATTATTTTTACCGCATAGCGAACCTGACTCAGTATTTGTATTTTTTTTAAAGTTGCTATCTAACTCTTTCAATCGAATCCTGCGACCAAATTGTCTGTCATCATTTGCTTGATGAAAGTTTTGATCAAAACTTCAAAAAGTGGTAACATGAGTGAACGTTTAGTCTAATTTTGAAGAAACAACCTATCCGAACAACATGAAAAGTAACCAATGGTTTCAAGGCTTTAACTCTGTTTGTCAAGTGCAGAATAAAACGTCTCCATCATCGAAAAGGGGAAATAGCAATTTCACCAACTCTGCGCTTTCCCTAACTCCCAATTATGTCTTGCGGTTTAATCGAGTCTCCAAAGTATCAAAGTTTAAAAAGCTGCGTGCTAAGAAACGAAATGCCATGAATGTGAATCAGCACTGTTGTTGTGATTTGAAGCCATTACAGTTGAACCAATCCATGCCAATGTTACTAGCTTCACCTCCTTCTTCCTTACCCATGACCAATTTCAAATTGTGTTTTTTAACTCCTGTCAACGATCACAATTGCTCATCCAATTTCACAAGAGTGAAACAGCAGAATGTCATGCAGTCTGTTGTTAGGTATGTCTGCCGATAAATTTTCTACTAAGATATTTTTCCATTGTCTTTGCACTGTATTTAGAGTTTATTGTATTTATGCAAAACAATTCCTTTTAATTGTAGATCTTAGTTCACACTTTACTTTGTACTTAAAAATGCTATTGAAACTTGAAAATCCTCAAATTCAAGCTTGGTTTCCAATGGATGCGACAACTTTCATTTGATGCAAAGCACTAATTTTCATTTAATTTCTGCATAAAGCATTGCAACTTTCAGTGAATTTATTAGTTCCCAATGATCGTTGTAAATAGAAAAAGCGGTGGTCAAGTCATGCTCAATCAATAGACTAAAAGACTAAGTACAAAATTGAGGACCACAGTACATGTTTCATAAGCAAAATTTTACAAAGATTACGATGGACTTGTCAAAACTTTTCAAAATTATGATTCTTGTCCACATTAATTCACATTTTCTGCTCACAAAAAATCTGAGCCTACTGAAGTCAAATTAAACACTGAACTAATGTCGGTATTTTTTTTACGACGGAAGAAATTTTCTGAGCAATAATTTTTTAAGGTTAAAGATACCTTGTATTAGAAGAGGAAGGAAATTTGTGTGCAACCAAGCGCTAGTTATTTGTCTAACATACAGTTTGATTTCAATAGTAAATTTAGCCCACATTGATCCTGGCTTTTTCACAAGCAGGAAGTTATAATTTACTGTTTATAATGTAGACTAAAAGCATTTATTTCTCCCCTATGAATTAATTTTGAATGTTTTCCATGTGTCCAACAAGATTTGCGTGGAATTTTGAGGAGAAAATCTGTGCTGAAGCGTTTAATTCTCTACCCTGTCCAGTGGTCCATTTGCATCGATAACCTCTGTTAGATGCTTTGCTTAATGTATAAATCAGAAATTTTCAACTTTTGTATGTTTGTCATGTTGTATTTAGTGATAACCTGTCATGAACATTATCAAATTCTGAACAATAAGAACTTAAAAACTAATGAAGTAGAATGCTCCAGCATTGCAGCAGATACATCCATGAGAAACCGAAGTTTGATACTGATAATCAGTGAACTCTTGCAGTGCACTCTTTTGCAGTCAAAATTCTTTCGCTCACTTTCTTTTCTAAAATGTTTAAAGTGAGAAAAGAGCCCTAGTTCCAAATAAAACAACTCTGCAAACATTATGGTGCACAAAAAGTCAAACTAAACTGTAGCTACAATGATTTGAAATTAGCAGTTCAAGAAACTGTGTGTAGAGAAAAAACCATCTGATCCTCCAATCTGCTTTACTGAACTGCTCACAGCACCTTATGAGAGGGATGATAGCGTGTTCTCTATTCGACTTCAAATTTCGATCTTTGACCCAACCTGACGATTTTTCCTCTCCCGGAAAATTTTCCTCTGCACACTAAAGTCTCTTTCTCTGAACTATTGTATATTTATGAAGAATGAACATCAACCTATTTTTTGCTCTCAGATGTGAGACCTCGAAACTTACTCCAAAATTTCTTTGTTTGTTACAGTGTCAAGGAAACCCATCAGATTGCTGAAGCCCAGCAAGAAAAGAATGCTAAACTTAGAGAAGCGTTTGGTATTTCAGAATATTTTGTAGAAGGAAGTAGTTTGGATCCCCAGAGGAGGGCTAAAGAAGCACTAGCAAAATCAGCTGCCAATCTTGAATCAGTTTATGCGCTTGTGAAGACACCAAGCCCTGAAAGAGATGCATCAAAAGAAGACAAAAAGTTGAAATCTCGAGACAGGTAATCCATTGCAACCTGCTTGGTTTTAAAATAAAAATAAGAAGAAAAGGAGAGTAGAACAAGAATAATTTATTTAATACAGTGTCAAAAACAGTGGCTCTATCAGTCGTTAAAATGTATAATTAACATAATACTTCATCATTACAAAGCATAGAACGTTTTTTTTTCTTCGTTTCATTCATCAACCGTTTCATTTACTCGGCTCCTCAAAAACACATATCGACACTTTGCAGTCGTACTGATCCGCTTTCAATGCATTACATCAGGCTTTGGGATAGGATTATGAAAACAGAATTATTTACAGAAAATTATCTTGAAAAACTTATACACTCATTTACAGTCAAAGAACATTTCGATGACTAAAATAATTATCCATTAGGAAGTTGAACAATCTGAGGACCAGGCCATGGTCTTGAAGAATCTGCCTCTCACTACATGAAGTGAAACCACTGAAAGTATCACAAATGTTGAGTAGAAGGGGTGAATCAATTATTTACCTAGTAATAAGTCATTTTATGACAATTTTGAAGAGTCTCAAAGGAAAAATTGGAAAAGTTTCTGCTTTGCAATTGATGAGGAAGAATGTAAACAAGCGGTCATAATGCCAACAGCCGACCAGTATCAGTCAACATGAGGCAAAATCAAAAAAACCATGGCTGTTGTTCCAGTGGATCTGCGAGAATTAGATGTGCCTCACTGAAAATCCACTGTGCTGGGTCTCTATTTGTCTCTGATATTTCAACTTCCTTTTTAATTGAATTGTTAGAAGTCTCTGTGTACAAATTTCCATTTCATTGCCTTAGACATTATAAAGAGGAATCTCTCTATTTGTCATCAGCTTACTTTCTTAAATTGGAACCATGCTATCCATGAAATAGAGACTAGAGTACTTATATACAGAGATAATGTATGCCCTTTTTTTCCATGTGTTTTTCTGGTGCCATGGGAATGAATGTGTACATTGTCATCGACATGAGGTGTGATAAACGTCTCTTTGCCATGAAAATATTGCCTGGTTTTATTGGAGGAAGAAATCATTAATCTTTTCAATATTTTGTATTAATTTTTCACCACCTTCATTTTATCCTTGAATAGCAATTAATTTTTCTAATTTTTATCTCTAGATCCTCATCTCAAGAAAAAAAGAAAGAGAAGAAGAAAAAATCCAAGAAACGTAAGAAAAAAAGGTATGTAAATGTTGAACTCCTCTCTTTATTTTTTATTAACTGCAAAATTGCATTTTGCAACAAAAATGAAAATATGACAAGAGGGACAGCATTTTTTTTTTTTTTTTTTTTTTTTACATCATTTCCCAAACTGTTCCCTAAATCTCTTTACCAAATGCAGAAATCTATCAGACAGTAATTCAGGGTGTCTACAGGTCCCGAAAATCCTGAAAGTTCTGAAAAAGTCCAGAATTTGCTTGACCGGTCCCGAAGTCACGAATAAGTCCGGAAATTAAACTCGAGGTCCAGAAAAATTTAAAAATTCACGGTTTTCGTGAATCAAAGTGTAGTTGTTACGTAGAAAAAATGTCCCCAATTAAACATACATATCATGGATTCTTTTAGTCAACAGCAATTTTCATAAAGATGGACTCGAGTTTCATTAAAATTAGCAGTAAGTGTAAACCCTGACTTGACAAAAATACTCCGAGGATCCTGAAAAAGTTCTAATAAGGTCCCGAAAAAGTCCTGAAATAGGTTTTCAAAAACCTGTAGACACCCTGTAATTGTTTTTCTTGAATGGGTCATAGATTCTCCCAATAGCGGTATTCACTAATTTTGTTTCAAGCCAAGAAGAATTATATTTAATGTTTAATTTTTGTTTGTGAATCCAGCTAAATAAAAGATTACGATCAGGTCATCTACAAATAGCTTATAAAGAACTTCTGGGGAAGTGTGAAGTTCAGGAGGTTTGGAGGAAAGATTTAATATTTCAAACTCAGATTTCAAAAATAGCGTTTTTTTTTAAAAAAATCTTTCTATTTTTTGTTTTTCTTCCGCTTTAACTTGATTTCCTAACAATTATTTAAGAGGATAAATCATAGCTTTGAAAAGGTATCCATGTCATAATCTTCAATATATTTGTTTCAGCGATCATGATGGTGGGAGCAAACCCAAGAAAAAAAAGAAGTCCAGTTCGAAGGTAATTCTTTTACACAGTAGTTAACCTTATCACTGTAAAATTCGAAGCGTTGTTTATTTCTCATTCCTGCCATATTGTTCAATTCCGTGCATGGTGTGCATCCGAAAATTTTGAAGGTCTCATCAACTTAATATTTGTGTTGATGCCTGGTAACTCCTGAAACAGTGAGAAAAAACTAATCAAAATGAAAACAGATAAGATCAATTACTTGAGTTACAGAATAATAATTTTGTCAGCCAATGCTCACAGATAAATAGTAAATGATGAAATTTGTCAATGTGTTGCTTTTCTCATATCCATAAACAATTTCTCAAGAAACACTGTGGATTCCATTATGTGCTACCCTTTAATTACCCTTTAAGCTGTAATTTTTTCCACCTTGCTTCAATGAAATGCAGCAGAATCAACTTACTGATAAGTTGCTTTGTTTTTGAATGGGCCACCAGGTTTGGCTGAATTGGAGGGAAACACTACATGTTTTCTCTTCAAAATCATGCGTAAGAAACCATTCATACAACAGGAAGTTCGGGAGCCACTTCCTGAACGAGATTTTAAAAAATCTTTTTGACTTGTATCAAATGGAAGTTGGATTATACAAATGATGTCGTTCGTATGTTTGCCATTCAAGCAATGTCAACTGAAAACATGTATCTTAATCAGGAGTTGATTTTCAGACTGCCCGTTATGTGATTCGTTTTCCTCATGAAATTTTGAAGAGGAAATATGTAATGTTGTGCTTTAATTCATACTTTGTCTAGAGGCCCATTGCTGTGCCAGTCTTAGTTTTTCAGAAGCAGAAGCTCCATTTGTCATGTAAATATAATATCAGGTCCAATGCAACTATTTTCAAGCTCGTGTATGCCTATCAGATTAGAGTACATATTTTCTAATCTTCAATTTTTTTTCGCTTAACCAAACACAAAGCGGTATGTTAGCATCTCCTACCACCCTCACAAATACGTACCCATCAAAGGGGAAAAGCGCATTACCAAGAAAATAAGTTTTTCTTGTACAATAAACTGGATACTCAAGCATGTTATCTTGTGAAGCACATATTCTGTACGGAATTTTACAATGGTATTTTCAGTCTTTCATGATGACATTTGCATGTGTTATTTGGTAATTGAGATTCTAACTCTTGTTTCCATTCATTTTAGAAAATTTGGTTTTTGAAGCATTCAGATAAAAATAGACCTTTAAAGGTTTTCTTAGAATGAGAAAGATACTAACCCTTTAGAATCAGTACAGCTTTTATATAAAATGTTTTGTTTCCGGTAAACTGGCATATGCACATTGTTGATATTAAACATATTATTTAATGTGAAGTCGTAAAGCCGGAAGACATTTTCAATTTGTTTTTCTTATTCTTTCTTTTTACTTAGCGGCAGCCTTTGTGTCACAATCAGTTGAGCTTTTTTAATTACTAGTCATTCAGGTATAGTTACCAATGGGACTGCGCAGGTCAAAAATACGTACCGTTTGTAAACGCAAGTTTTTCATTCTCGAAACAAATATTAGAAAGGACTTAGTAGAATAACCGTAGATGGGGGGCTTATTGATGTTTCTCTCTGTGATTGTAAAGTCAAGCTACCATAATGTAAAATAATTTATTCGAATAGAAACCCAACGCCAGATAAAATGCTATCGAAAGCAAGGCTCCAAATGGTTTCTGGCTCCTTTCTCTGGTCGATCAATTGCAAAAAAATCCATGAATTCTCCAGAAAAATCTGATAAAAGGTTAGGAAATTTGGTCATGGTAAGGCAATTTTTGTACATGCACTCTAGGAAATACGGGACAGGGGAAAATGTGAAGTGCAGCAAGCGTTTGGAGGTAATCTCATCGAAACGATAACCTATTTCTTGTAAATTTAAAGAATCTTTTAAAACCTCAAATAGAGAAAATATTTGCAGAAAATTGTAGGAAATTGGAGAATTTCAGCGACAATTAAGAATGAATTCAGAATTTTGGTCTCTAGGAAAAAGTGCCAGATTGTTTTGAGAAGCTAGCGTCTTGAAACATTTTACCACCCAGTAACTCGCTGTGCCTGACATTTCCCTGTGTTAAAGTTGGCTAGAAAGACGATGGTGCCACCAATTTTCTCAAATGAACTTCATAAGCTCAAAAAAAACTCTCAAAGTTGAGACTGTAATGGAAGAGATCCCCTGCGCTACACTTAGCCTCTGTATCTATTCAAACTTTCCATGCACAGATAGGGAGCAAATAGAGTACACTAGGAGGGTTGCCAGTTGCCACTTTGTTTGGAGACTTTAAGGCTGGAACCACAGCAGGACATAGAGGTAGACTCTTAGAGTAGCAAGGAGGATCCCCTTTACTATGGCTTCGACTTTCAGAGCTTCTTTTGAGCCTAGGAGTTTCTTTCAGGCAAGGAATCATCGGGTAGACATCATGGTGCCTCCCGAGAAGTTTTACATGCTAAGAAGTTCTTGAATGGTACCCTTTGGTGTATGTAAGAGCTCCATTTAACATGTCGGCATTAGCATTAACAATTTTCAATCTCTAATTTCCCTTTTATTTCATTCTTTTTATTTGCACTTTAAATTTTTCCCAAGAATAAGGAAGGTTGCTTTTAAAGTTTTTTTATCTCGGTCACCTTATTTTATGTTTCACCCAGTAGTATCTTACATCATTTAAGACATGCATCTGTTGTCATCTTGAATTTGTCATTGTTTCCCTTCGCCTGCTTTTGAAGAGGTACTTTACTCATTATGTATCTATGTATTTTTATTTTTTTCAACTTTAATCCTGCTCTGCTCAATTTTCTTACCTCTGGCTGTAAAAAGTAGGTTTGCTATTAATACGTAATTTGGTTAAAATTTCCGAATCTAAAGTACACCATACTCTTTGTAAAGGCTTCTTAATGGTGTTACTTGCAAAAATTGCATAATCTTTCACTATTTTCTTTTTTACATTTTTTTTTTTTTTCTAAGCTGATCAGAGTTCAAGATAAGATCCTCGATTATTGGAAGTGTAAATAATCTGCTGAAGTACTCCTTCAGGCTAGACAAAAAAATAAATCTAATCCAATGGTCAATTCATACATGACCTTCAGTCAGGAGAACTGAAAGTCAAGAATTGGTGTTGAAAATGTGAGAATTGATTATTTCAACTGTAATGTTTCTGACTGATACACTGGTCGCAGAAGAATTTTAAGTCTAGCATATTTGAAGTCAGTCTTACTCTTTCTCGTTGGCTGTGTGAAATATTGGATTTTTTAAACAGATTCCGTTTTTAATCTTTGCTGTTGAGTTTAAGCTCTCGTTCCATCTCTTTTATTTTTCTTTTTTTGATATTGTCTCCTTTTTTTATAACTTGCCAGAGTTGCCTCTCTGGTTTAACTGTACTAATTTCCAAGAATTGCTGAATAAACCTCCAAATCTATTATTGTTTTTGCATCAATCACTAGGAAATGTTTTCGTAAGGTTTCTCTCGTAAGTACCAACCGCTACCACAAAATAATTGATTGGTTTTCTTTGAATCATGTTCTTATCATACACCTCTGAAATTTTTTTTACTATAATGCTCCAACGATTTTGCGAGTAGATCAGTGAGAAATTCTGATTAGTTTTTTTAAGGTGTTCCTGCGCTTTCTCCTTTTCTTAATCTTCCCTCTTGCGTAAGTCATCAAGGATCTGAAAAGCCAAGTCAATTTTTGAAATGTCTTTCAAAAATGTATCATAATTTCCTTTCATCTTTCTCCATAGACAAGTTTCCTAAAAATACAGGGCTCTGTGACTGTTTATTCAAGTCCCCCTCCATCTCTTTCATTTTTGCCTAATTGCAGTCTCTGTTTGGGAAGTGTTCTTTTTTTTTCTAGCATAGCTTCATTATTAAACTTTAAATTGATCGTTCTTTCACTGTTGAAGCCGAGTTGTCAGTTAGGGAAAGCACGAAAATGTCAGGAAAAAATTGTCAATTCACCTTTATTTGCTTTCTAGAATGTGTTTAACGTTTCAAGCAACAAACGTTCCGTGGAAACCACCTCAAAAAACTGTCCTGCACGTTCCATTTATCGGGGACTTTTCCCCAAATTTGTCAGGGAAATCTGGGAATTCAATTTTTTAAATGGGCCTGTCGCAAAATTTTGCTTGAGCAAAAATGAAAGTTGTTTCCATAAAAAGTGTCTCAAAAATCACGATGAGCGCATTGGCAAATTCTGAAATGCACCCCTAACTTCACATTATGCCTAAGAAATTTGTGTTTTTCTGAGCTTGCCGCTTTGAAAACGATACTACTGTAAGGGTGGACATTTTGTTAGAGGAGTAATTCCATTCAACCCCTGCTCAATAGCATGTTTCGCAATATTCATCATGACCGATGCTTCTGCGCGTAAATCGAGGGGAACACCAGGTCAATCAAGGCGGATATCTCTCCACAGTCTTAACGTGAGGAAAATATGAATGTCAAAACGCCGATCGTTATCAGGTGATTAGAATATCGTCCCGTCACAAGTATTTTGGTGGATTGGCGTTGGCTATGTTGAATACTGAGTAGCATCCTATTGAGTAGGAGTTAGATGGAATGACTCCTCTAGCGAAATGTTCACCTGTGCCGTAGTATCGTTTTTGAAACGGCAAGCTCAAATAAATGCAAATATCTCTCGCAGATTGTGAAGTTCTGAGTGCATGTCAGGCTTTGCCGATGCGCTCATTGTGATTTTTGAGACTTTTTCCAAAAGGGAAAACTCTTTATTTTTGATCTGGCAAAAGTTTGCAACAGGCCCATTCTGTGGCAACCCTGGGTTAAGGTACACCTCGTTTAACCTTCCCTCTGATCGGGACTTATATTTCACCTTAAGAGGGCTATTTTGTCTTTCAACATTCTAGTTTATCATTAGAGAAATTGGAACTTACGTCCTTGAAACGTCTGTGCAGTTATAATGTCATTCATTTCTCATGAAGAATATTCATTGAGCTGGTGACTTCTGCTGCAAAAATTTACTTTCAAACTCATAGCTGTTTTCCTCCTTAGTTTTTTTTTCTCTTCAAAAAATTTACATCCTTTTTTGTGTCTTTACCAATGATCAACAGGCAAAAAAAGTAATTATCTGCCTTCATTGCCTACATTCGAATGACAGTCTTAATTTTTTTATTAGTATCATCCCTTTTTTCCCCAATTACTGCTAGCGGCAGGTATTTTAAAAATATTCCAAAAATATTCATCCTCAACATTTCCAAAAAATGTTACCATCCTATGTTTGAATGAGTAGATATCCGATTAAATGAACAGAAAGATATACTATCTATCTATCTATCTATTTCTCTTTTCCCCTATTTTCTTTCCTTTCCTGTTTATTGATTTATATTTTTTACTTAAATTTTCTCCTGATCAACATTGAAAGACCACTTTATTTTTTTCAACCTCCATATTCTCATAATTGCATGCATTTTTTCACCGAGTGACTTTGTGTGACAGTTTTTTATCACTCACTAATTGAGTGAAGAATAAAAATTACCCTAGAAAATTTACTCTGTGAAAACAGATTATTTCACTACTCTATGTCAACGCTTGCTCTTGATCAAGAATCAATTTTTACAATTTTTCAAATGATGTGTGTGTTTGTGCAAAGCTACACAATAATATTTTTTTTCTTTTTTTTACTCTTTGGTCTAGCATCAGGATATAAATTTATTCCAAGGTAATATTTAGACTGCTTTTATCATCTTCATAAACTGACAAGAGGACCAGTTTCAAAGCTCCTATTAAATTTGTCATTATTTTCTGTTTTGTCTATGTTGGGTACCTACTTTGTACTTCTAGCTGCCAACAAACCTTATTCCCCTCCTCCCATTTCTTTATTTTATCCCCTCTATTAGAAAATAATCACTAATATAACTATAGAACTATCCTGTAATATCATTTGTAATGCATATGAAGAATTCATCTTTTATTGCATTCAATTCAATGCTTTAGCTTCAGTCTCGCTTTTGAGTATCAAGTTATGGATTACTGCCAAGAAATTGCTTATAATGGGCCTGTTGCATGCAAGAGATACAGCCGCGCGAATAGACTTCATAGAGGTTAAATGACACGAAAATTACAATGGTCACATTAAAAAAGTCTGAAATACACTCCTTACTGCGCAATTTGGGTTGTTAGAAGCGCGCTTTTTCAAATTTCCCGCGTCTGGGGGCAGTTTTCTAATCACCGGAAACGAGCAAACGGCGGGCTCGGTGATTTCCGGAAGATGCCGAGTCGTTGTTGTTGTTGTTATTTTTTCCTTCAGTTTGTTCACAAACGCAACGTGATCTCTTATAGTGGTGCATATACGCTTTATGCGGTCACCAAATCGATCAACTTTTAAATATCCAACGCAATCCTTCTACATTTCATTTCACGATATCACGAGCTCCGATTTTTAGGTTATGTTGTCAGTTTTAGTTGACCGGAAATAGCCGCGAGTTGCCGTTAATTGTTTCCGTAAGAAAACTGCCCCCCGACGCGGGAAATTTGAAAAAGCGCGCTTCTAACAACGCAAATTGCGCAGTAAGGAGTGTATTTCAGACTTTTTTGATGTGACCATCGTAATTTTCATGTCATTTAACCTCTAAAAAGTCTATTCGCATGGCTGTATCTCTTGCATGCAACAGGCCCATTGAACTTCATTTTGCAATCAGGAACTACCATTTCTGGCTCACCCACAAAATACTTTATCTGCATAGGGAAACTAATAGCACACATGTTATTTTTAAAATGAGCCAGAAGTATTAGTTTCGTATTTGAAAACTTTTTTAAATCATTATATTTGAAGTTGAAAAAAAAAAAATGAAAAGAAGGTGTTAGTAATATTTACTCTACTTTTTAAGTGACTCTGGTAACAGGATGTCATACAGATTCAATTAAAATAATGTAGGCTAAAATTTTAGGCTAATTTTTTCCATCATCTCCCCACTTTTAAATTTATCGCACAACATTTCACCCAGCACTTAAATTTTTTATTTTTACCTATCCCTCTCCTATTTATATGATTTATTCATTGTGTTAGTCTCTTTCTCCGTGAGTTTTTTTTATTAGTGAGATATCTCATCTAGGATCTTTTCAGTTTTTTATTTTTATCATTTGTTGCACTTTTATTATTACGGTATCTACTTTCAGTTTTCTATCTTGCTAACTCTTCAACAATGAAGGTGAAAAATCTAGAATTTTAATTTACTCTGTGTTTTTTCTTTTTCCGTCTGCCCGCAGAAGAGTAAAAAGAAGAAACATGAAGAAAGTTCTGATGACAGCTCTGATCCATCTGATGACAGGTAATGCTTTGTTCTAATTCATTTAAAAAGAGCATAGAAATGAACCAATTGATGTAACTTCATTAAGATTTTACATTGATATATCCAATTGAAACTCAGAGGAGAAAGTTGTACTTTTAATGTTTTCCTGGAGACTTTATTTGAATAAATTAAAAAGTCTGTGTAAAATAATCAGACATATCCTAAGCTCAGAATGCCACAAATACCCTGATTTGTAAGTTTTACTTTAGGATGAGGCTTTTTACCTGAATTGCTTTGTCTCTTCTGTTTGAGGAGGAAGGTGAATCGAAGAATTTCCCTTGTGCAGTAGCCTTTATTTTAAAGTGGCCCCACATTTTCTAGTTCTTCTATGAAATAATATTTACTCCTCATACTCACCTCTTGCCTCTCTTTTTTTGGTTCTAGCTCCTCAGAAAAGCGGAAAAGCAATCCCAAACGCTCTGAAAAAGTTAAAACTTTGCCAAGAAATCGCTCTGAAAGTAGGAGTCCACCCCCAAAGAAGGATTCCCACAAAAGCAGATCTTCACCAGCTTATCATTCAAGAAATAGATCGGACTCCTTTGACGATCATAAGAATAGAAACTCCTCGCGAAAACACAAAGATAATTCCCCTATCTTGAATCATCGAAGGAAAGAGTCAATATCTCCCCCTCGAAAGAAAAAGTCTGTATCCCCAAGTTATCATAAGAGGAAACGAGGTCCATCTCCACCTCCAAGGAAGAAGTCAGTCTCGCCCTCAAATCGGAAAAGGAGGAGATCCACTTCACCCTCTAATCGTTATAAAGATGGTTCTCTTACATCAGGGCGTCGCAGAGAACGGAAGTCCATCTCACCGAGTCCTTTTAACAAGTATAAAAGATCACCCTCACCTTACAGTCATAAAAATAGGCGATCAGTGACTCCTAAAGATGAAAGAAGCTCTAAGAATCCTCGAAAAAAGAGGTCTAGATCATCCCGATCAGCCTCTGAGTCGAAAGAGAAACTCTTCAGATCGTCTAAACGGAAAATCTCTCCAAGCCCTCCGAAGAGCAAATATCGTAAAAATGTATCGAAGTCAAGAAGTAAGTCTGTTTCTCCACCTTCCAAGAGAAATAGGTCTTCTTACTATGGTTCGGAAGCTAGAAATGTAGATAGTTATGATCATAAAAAAACTAATGGCAGTAAACATAAGTCTCAACAAGAGAACAGGAACAGTAGCCATAAAAAAATGTATTCAAGGCACTCTCGAAGTTTATCTCGGAGCAAATCACCAGTTGTCAAGCGCAGTCCAAGTGAATCTCCGCGAAGAAGTAGGCAGAAATACCACGATTTATCGAAGCATCGAAATGGCAGCAAGAAAAAAAATAGTAGGTCGCCAAGCAAAGACTCTAAGCGTAAATCTAGGAAAAGTAATTTGAGTGGCCATCGTTCCAGGTCTAGCTCATCGTCTCGTTTAAGTTATTCACCGTTGGATAAAAATCCTGAAAGGTATCGGGATATCCTCAAACCAAAGATCTCCAAACCTCAGCCTGTTGTTCGCCTCAGGTCATTTTCCAGTGAAAATGAAGGTGTCGATAGTTTAAAAAAGAAGAGTTCTGCTGATGAAGAAAATAAACGCAGTGCCTTGGACTTTCTCCAATCAGCACTGTCAGCCAAAGTGAAAGAATCTGTTGAGAAAAAACTTTCTAGCCATAAAAATAATGTTGAAAAGTCGATGATTAACTTGTCAGCCAGTAAACAAAATGATTCAAAGTCACCCATTGAACCTGTAAGAAAATCGTCAGTCTGTGTTAATAGCCCCAGCAGAATAAACTTTGCTCTTCAGTCATCCAGTTGCAAGTTACCATCACCATCAGTAGAGGACAAGAAAGGCGTGTCCTCGAAATTTATTATTAATTTAGACGGGTCACCTAAGGTCAGGAAAACTCCTGACAATGTAATTAATTCTCCACCATTAAAGAAAGGTGAAAGTGTTTCCGTCAAGAAAGAAAAAGATTCGACTGAGAGTACATTATTACTTTCCCAACTAAAGGCTTTAAAATCTGACATTAAAAGTCTGATTCAAAACTCCCCTGTTTCTTCTGTGAAATTATCATCTCCAGGGAAAAAACAGAAGCTATCTGGAGAAAAAGACTCAGCTTCGCCGCATCTTTGCCGTAAATCCCGAAAAAAGGACAGCAACCGATCAGGATCTTCTAGCAATGATGATGACTCTCCCATTCGCGACTCATCTAGTAGCGACTCATCAGATTCAAGTCAAGATTCAGACTCCAGTGATAGGTAATTAAAAGTCGAAAAATGAATGTTTGATTATATTCAAGGTAAAATGGGTATAAAGTTTTGCCGGTCATTCTTTCAATTATTCTTTCCATTGGATCAAGATCAATTAACTTTATTGCCTGATTTTCGAATTTTAATCAATTAATCCACAAGTCATCGGGAAGAAACTAATTTGCTAACATCTGACCATAGTGGGTGATTGAAATAGATATGGGTTTGCTGCATTTAAGATAAATTGGAGAAAGAATAGACTCCTCTTAGTAAAACTGCCTTTATATAAAAATGAGCTTGTCCAAAAGGTTTTTGTATGTAAATAGTTCTAAGGTATTTTAATATTTTATGAGGTCCAAGTTTCAACTGAAAATTATTCATTCATGTTTTCATCAATGAGATGCAATCAAAACACCTAATGAAGAATATAAAACGTATAAAAGATCTAAATTAAATCAATCAAAGATGAGAGTGGAGAAGAGTGAAGGTAAAGTTAGCTTTAATTGAAGTGTATCTCAATTGTTCAATGATTCTGTAAAAGGAAAAAAAAAAATTGAATCAGAAAAAATGAAAAGATTTAAACGCTTCAAAATGAAACACTGATGGATCCTGCAAGTCCTCAATCTATACTTCAAGGCTAAATTCTTACATTTTTGCATCGTAGCTTGAATTTTTTAAGTTTTGTTTATTTGGTTGTGTGATTAGCAGTCTAACCAATGAAAGAGAAAAAGGAAACGTATGTTAGCAATAACTGCTGTATTAGCTGCCCTGTTGGAAGGAAAATTAGCCTCCTCAACCAATTTTTGTTTCACTTGCAGATCGTCATCAAGGTCTGGCTCAGCAAAGAGGAAATCATCCTCAAGATCTGTATCAAGAGATAGCAAGCGCAAGGGTTCTCCCTCTCGAAGCAGGAGTCGAAGTGGCTCCTCGAGGTCTGAGTCAAGCTCGCCATCGGAGCGAGCAGGATCTGTTCACTCTGTCGGCCACCGAGCCTCTAGGTAAGACTTGCTGTCTAATTTAAAGGTTTGCCTCATCATTAAGAAGAGACATTCAGAATGAATGATCGGAATGTGATTGGTGATAACTGGATATGAAGTCTTATTGGCTAGAGCAGCACCTAGTCTTTTGATAGAAAACTAACATCAATAATCAAACTGATTGATGGGCAAGCAACTGATGATGGATGTATCATTGCAGTGTAGCAAAACCTGAAGAATTTTGATTATTAATATGAAGCTGGATTATTCCAGCTATCCATACTACCCTCTTTTCCTTCGTATGAGAATTTCAGGATGGCTTCTAGAGATGTTATTTCTCTGCCACCAATGGTAGGGGTTGCTTTGTAGTTTTATGAGGTATATACATAGGTTGTCCCAAAAGTACTGCACGTTTTTTTCTTATTGACGAACGGTAGTAGATATCAAAATGCGGTTTGTGTAGTCTTAAAGACCGGCCAATTACCGATAAAACAAGACAAATCCGAGCTCTCTAAGTCAAAAATTGACCAAGTTACAGCGTTTTGAAAATGACTTGTAGAGGGGACCCCTACGGAATTTTCAGGTTCTCTTCTGGAAAAAACAAAGAGTTGATTGTTTTGTTTTTTTTTGGACAAACGGTAGCAGATATCAAAATACGGTTTGTGTAATCTTAAAGACCGAGCAATTACCAATAAAACAAGACAAATCTGAGCTCTCTAAGTCAAAAAATGACCAAGTTACAGTGTTTTGAAAATGACTTGTAGAGGTGACCCCTCCAGGATTTTTAGCTTCTTTTCTGGAAAAAACAAAGATTTGATTGATCAAAAATTCTACAGAGAAATCGTCACGATCGAATGAAGTTGGTAACATGATATCAGCCCAGACCTTGCACCCTGCGATTTTTGGTTATTCCCCACGTTGAAAAAGGGCTTAAGAGGCAGGAAGTTTAACTCCATCAACGAGATGAAAAGAGCGGTTGAAACTTTCTTAAAGAACATTAGGCAAGAAGAATTCGAAAAAACCATCTTTGAAGAATTGGGAAGATCGGTTGCGGCGCTGTGTGGCAAGAGATGGAGGGTATTTTGAGACGGAAACTAGTGTCCAGTCATCCAGTGAAGAAGAGTAAATGCTAGTAATCTTGGTAAGATTCTGCAAAATTGATTTAATAAAACCACTTGAATCCTTAATTCTTTGTTTTTTTTTTCCAGAAAAGAAGCTGAAAATCCCGTAGGGGTCCCCTCTACAAGTCATTTTCAAAACGCTGTAACTTGGTCAATTTTTGACTTAGAGAGCTCGGATTTGTCTCATTTTATCGGTAATTGGCCGGTCTTTAAGACTACACAAACAGCATTTTGATATCTACTACCGTTCGTCAATAAGAAAAAAACGTGCAGTACTTTTGGGACAACCTATGTAGCATCTTGCCGAAATACAGCATTTAACAATACATGGTACCAAATCACATGGCACTTCGGAGTTAGTGTACTTCAAATCAAGACTATTCGGCCACTTGTTATCCTTCAATAAGAGAAGAACCGGTGGTGTTCTTCTCTTTTAACTTCTCTTTCTAACATTTAACAGTAATACGTGAAGTTATGAAGCCTGGAACGTTGTCATTTTGATTGGTTAATATCTTTTAAGCCATAATAATTGAAGGAGGTCTCCTTGTGAAGTTCTGAGTGTTTGCTGAGTGTCATGTAGCCATATAGTTGTCCATGAGTGTCTGCAAATGCCAATGCACTGATGGAATGCCAAGCAAATAGGGTTCTTGTGCAATTTGTTCAAGCATCTTAATTATCGCTGATATTCATTTTATTGTGGTTTTGAAGTTCCTTTTTTCGGAGAATTTTATTCCAGAATTAAATATCAGATATCCTAAACATCGTCAGTTAGTATGTTATGTAGAAGAGCTCTCTCCAATCGTAAGGATACTTTCAGTGAATGATGCAAGATTAAGATTCTTAAATAGTGATAATTTATGGCGCAATAATTTTTGTGATAGCATTTTTTTTTATCATTTTCAGATCTTCCTCTAGGTCAGTTTCTCCAAAACGCCGATCAGGTTCTAGATCTGTTTCACGTCACAGTAAAGGAAGTGCTTCCAGATCACCGAGTAGGAGCCATAGCTCATCCAGATCTCGCTCCAGGTCTCCTTCAATACCCCGACGTAAAGGTTCTCCGAGCTTTTTAGATAGGCGACGCATCACAAGGTAAATTTCCAGCGTTTTTATAACTTTTCTCTACTTGTTCTGTTGGATAGTTGTCATTTTATTTTTCCAGTATTAGTTCAGATATTTTAGATTTTTTGCACTATGTGTGTTAGTGTTTGTGTATCTAGTGGTTGTCAGAAAGCCTGTTGCTATATCATATAATTTGCAGCAATATCCCTGATACAAAGCACTTAGATCCTGCTGTGATGAAAAACTCTGAGATCTATGGAAATTAAGCGCAGTGTTGTTGAAACACATATCAATGCCCCAACTTCAAAACTTCTTGGTTCAGTCACACAATTTCAAAATATCTGTGTATACAGTATTTTCTATGAGAAGAATATATCAACATTACAACTTGGAATTCCTTGGATGATCATGAAATGGCCAAGATTCTTACAAACCAACTTGGATTTCCACGTTTGGAAAGGGAAATTTTATAATTGTTTAACAGTAATACGTGAAGTTATGAAGCGTGGAACGTTGTCATTTTGATTGGTTAATATCTTTTAAGCCATAATAATTGAAGGAGGTCTCCATGTGAAGTTCTGAGTGTTTGCCGAGTGTCATGTAGCCATATAGTTGTCCATGAGTGTCTGCAAATGCCAATGCACTGATGGAATGCCAAGCAAATAGGGTTCTTGTGCAATTTGTTCAAGCATCTTAATTATCGCTGATATTCATTTTATTGTGGTTTTGAAGTTCCTTTTTTCGAAAATCCTGTGCAGTGGTCATTTCAAATAGGTGCATGTTCATCATTAGGTAACATGGAATCGCAAAAAGTCTGAAAAAAAAAGAAAAGAAAAAGTCTTTCAAAATACATAAAAAATACACATTAAAAGGCAACACCCAAAGCAAATCAGACATCGACAAAATCAATGTCGTTTCAATCTGATCTGGTTTCTGAGTGTTCTTTCTATGTAAATCACTTTCCTTTGAATTTTTGGTGTGCAAATTTTTTACGATTTCTTGTCACTGGTAGATGAGCTGTTACCTGCCTGAAATCGTCATAGCACAACATTTTCAAAGAACTCAAAATTCGAGACTAGAGTGAAACAAGTATCAGCTGTAAGTAATAAAACAACCAATAATAAACTTAGGGGGAACAATTTTAGGAATGTTTCACTCTCATTATTGTGCCTTTTAAAATAGCTGGCTTCCTCCTAGTCTCAGCCAAAATGCACAAGCTGAACACAGTATTCCAAAGAGATTACAAAAGAGTGGCAACAAACTTTCCGTTCCATCAAAGCAGACAACTCCACTACCCATTGGACATTTCTTCAAGTTTAAACTTAAAATTGGCTCCTCAAACTGTGTCAAATTTCTTGTAAGTTCGTGGAGGGGAGGGTATCACAAAATAGGGAAGTAAAATTCTTTCAAGCTTCGCACTGTTGCTGTATACATACATGTTTGATTGTTGTGCTCATTTCATATTTGTGAGTGAGGAGTCTTATTTGGTCCTGAAAATGGACCCATCCAGTTTCTGTCTAAAATCTGATGAGTTAATTGAAACACGGTGTTCAATTTGTCAGCAAGGCATTTCCAGCTGAGTTTGGAGTTAAAGCAGTTATGTTTTGTTTGCAAGTTGTGTAGTAATTTAATTGGCTCGTACAATAGCTGAATTCAAAAATTAGAATTACATTTATTATTGTCTAAGTTCTTTTCTTTTTGGCTTAAAATAGTTTGCATTGAATCCTGCATCATCAAGATGGATATAAATTTTCTTTTCAGTATGATCCAGAAAGATTTATTTCCATGATTTCCTAGAAAAATGTGTTTACTTTTGGATTTTATAAAAAGAAAAAATGGTTAACCGCCTTGTGTGACGATTAAATCGTCCACTGAACAATGTGGAATAGGTCCTTGCATAGGATCATTCAGTCAGTAGTTACATTATTGATTCATTTTTTTCTGTTTTTCCTCTATTAATTTTCATAACCTGTTTTCTATTTTTTTATCTTTTTCTCTCTGTCCTTTTTTTAGTTATTATTTTATTTCCTCTGATTTCTTTTCAGTCCTAAATCCAAAAAGTATTCAAGTGATTCTAGTTCAACATCAGACTCTTCAAGCTCATCCTCATCATCCTCATCATCGTCCTCCGATTCTGACTCTGATTCAACATAAATTAATAATTAACGAATTAAAGTCATAGCTCTTTCTAGTGCATCATACGCCTTTCAAACACAAATTATAAAAACATTCTCCAACAGACGGGAAGCTGTTGTTGGAGGCTGAAAAGTTTCTACTTAGAAGACTCAATCTGTTTGTCCTTGCTTGTTTTCTGCGTGGTCTCTTAGATGTATACTCGGTGTGCTTTAATATTGACTTAGGGTAAAATCCGTGGCGCCCAAAAATCTTGAAGGAGCTAAAAATCAGGATACTAAGTCAACGAAACCAATAGACTTTTTTTATTTTTCCTATCTAGAAAGACATTAATTTTTTTACCTCTTCATAAAGTTGGGACGTTTTAATTTATTTTAGGTACAGCTTCATTTTTGGATTATAAATCCTCTCCTAGCCTGCAAGATAATATCTGCAAATATTTATTTTATGAAATATTTTAGCCGCACCGGTTAGTATGTTCAGTGCCTCTAAATTTGATGTCAGTGTAAAAGTGGAAAAAGATACTCATCAAAGTAGGACTGAAGACTAGAATTTCGGCAAAACTTTCAATTTAGTCCATTGCAAGTAAGTTCTAATGAATTTTTAGTCAAGTCTTACATCTTTAAATAAAGAGTTGAGCATTCGGTTAAATGCTGCACTTGAGGAAGAGTTGAACACTGTGTATGGCTCATGTATATAGAAATGAAAGATAAATTATTTTATTGCCTGCAGATAAATACCTCACTGATGATGTATCATCATCATTCGGGTCTTAACAAAATTAAAAAGTATACAATTTACTTGAAGTTTAACTTTACATTTAAAGAAAAATTTGTTAGAACTTGAATGAAAAAAAAGGATTTGTTTAGTTTTCACCCAAGTTTTAAATCCTTTCATTTGTTTTCACTTTGTTCTGAATCAGATAGAATTCTACGTTTCCTTCCCATCTCTCTATACTAGTTGTATTTGATTTTTAATTTTATTGCTTATCCGTGTGTTAAGTTGATGTATTTTTCACATGGACTTTTTGCATGTCTGTGTTTAAATTCACAGAACAGTTGGATAGCTTTAAGAACTGATATGTTGAGCTAAGCAAACCCTCGGATTGTTTCAATCCATTGTAATTGGTCAGGAATAAGTATTTCTCCATGGTGTAGCACTTTTCACTATGTACAAAAATTCGTCAGTGGCTTTCATTTTTTTAAAATTCATTTTCTGAAAGTACAAAGTGAACAAAGCTTTCAAGAATTTTTTTGAACCCTAAATGTATAAAAAAGACCTGTTTGAATCGAGATGATTGGCGGGCTCTGATGACGCAGCCAGGTATGCAAAACTGTGTCAGCTTTAGGTATTGCTTTGTCAACTCGACCGTTGCCTTATGATTGGTCGGACTTTGATTATCTTTTTCTTCCCTTTGAATTGATTCGCAGAATTTTTTGATGAACTTTTTGGTTTGTTCATAAAACCGAATGTACAAAAAACTATGCTGCAACCCTGCAAAAATTTCTTGCCACTGCCCCATTTTTGTCCAATAGATTGGCTCAATTCAATTTCGTGTGATTTACAATAGTAACTAGTCAAAACTTTGTTAGGTATACTAACGATCTTCATCAAACAGGACAAAGACGTATTTTTCCCAAAAAATGTTTCGCGTTTCAGGTAAACTACTGCAATCTTCTTTTATGATATGTAATAATCAAGGTACGGAAAGCATAACTTAGAGGTGTTCTATCCTCTTTTTAGATTCAGGTTAGCTCCAACTTTTCCAGCCAAAAGTCCATTTCTTATAATTTCTTTTCTTTTCTTTTCTTTTTTCCCCATGGAAAAATGTGTAACTCTTTTCAACAAAATTTTTTGCAATAGCAGTTTTTTTGTGCATTGAGAATTAGTTGTATAAAGTCTTTGGCCTCCTCTTCTGTAAAGCTTGAACCAGATGAGTGGCAAGTCCCTCCAAAGTTCATTTTCTCCCATGCTTTTACCGAACTGTTGAAGACCTCATCAATAAATCATTGTGACTTAACTGACTGTAGTATAGCGGCTTTTAAAGATGTATTTCTCTGGTATACACCCCGATTTTGCCAGAAAGGGTTCCATTTTGTGGCAACTATCTGGGGAAATCTCAGGAACTTGAAAATCAGACAAATTTTGGTCTATTGGGTGAGAAAATCAGTACGTGAAGAGGATACTTGAGACTGCTGGACCAAAAACTGTGCATTTGGCATTTATCATTCCGTCAACACCTTAATAAATGATGACAACCAATGAAAAGTTTTGGGCAAAATATCAAGATAAAATCTTACTTTATTTCAATGAAATGGTCTGCAAATTGTCCTATGTCATCACGATTTTTCTGAAAAGAAAAATAAAAGAATAAAGTTTAGTCTCAAGTAAGTATCTCTGATTAATGTGCAAACGCTTTCAGGGGTTCATCGCTATTTCTTTTGTAGCCAGGAGTATACGAAGTCATTTTTTAACTTCTCATTCTTACCAACTGCACACATTTCCTCATCCTACATTGTTGCAGGATACACTCTTACTTGCCACCCAGGAAATGACTACTAAAAGTCAATTGTAATTTCCTCCAAAATTTTGTCTTGTTAGGAATTGCTGGGGCAGCAAAACTGCTGAAAAGGAGCAAAATGAGGTAGGGGAAAAAAATAGATCATAAAACTGGAACACTCTTTTTAACTTATTGAATGAAACTCGATGTAAAATTCACTTTTGAGACTGCATTTTGCTGATAGGTAGAAAGACTGTAAGTTGTTAAGGGTAATTAAGACTTTGTAGGATGGATAACAACATACCTGGACAGAAAGATGATTCTACTCCACGAACAAACCGTCTCATTCTGAGGGTGTAACTTGAATAAGGGCAAACAATTAACTGAATTTTGCCTTTTTCACTGTACAGTATCATTTTATTGTTTATTTCATTGTCCCTCTATCTTATTAGTTTTATTCCTCTCAATTGTTAAATAGTGTTATGATTTTAATTTTTCATGAATTAAAATTGAATTAAAATATTTGCTCCTTTTTATAATTTCTTTAATTCTTCCTTCTCAATTAATCTCACATAAAGCGTTAAAATCGGAAGTCATCCAGTTTATTAGAGATCCAGCTAGAAACAAACGTTTCTTTCAATTTTTGCCATCTTGATCTTTTTTACTCACCTTTCGTAGGCATTTTGGGTTTTTTCTCTTTTTTTTATCATTACTTTTCTATTTTATGTAACGCACTCTAAGAGGCAGTCAATAGTTCTTTTCAGTATTGTAACTAACAAGGAACACGGCTGTTTGAATGTTGTATATCTTTACATTGTCGTGTAAAATTAATTCAAGCTAGGCTTATCAGGGTAGTGCAGCTTTCATTTCAAAATCTATACTTAGTCCATCTTTCTCATGCTTTTTTCTTTTTCAAGTTTTGACTTCTAGAAGGATTTCTTTTCTTTTTTCTTGAAGTTGTGCCAAAATGAAGAGGATCATATCTAACTGATTTTAAGATATCAATATTTTTATTTTATACTAATGCAAAATTCTAATAGGACAGAGACTCTTGTAATCTAGAAGAAGAAGCATGTAAAGATTCTCACAAATGATAAATTGAACAAAAAATCAATTTGGCAGACTGATACTGAAAAGTTTTTTGAAGGTTGGAAAAAATGGGATGTACGGTCTCCTTGGACAAATTATTGCTCACTAATTAGAGGGATAGAAGAATAGAAGGTTACGAAGCTTAAGCATTCAGCTGTAAATCAATAGCTCAGTAGCACTGACAAATCATTGTATGTCTTCCTCTACAAAGCTCTGTCCAATTTTTGTTCCAACATCATGTTTGCTCGTAATGTCCAAGGACAATTTGTGACTGTTGTTGGCTCCTAATGTTTACTTCTCCAGGTTTATTTGTGATTAAAATTTACCCCCAATGTGGTAGGCAAATACTCAACTCGGAAAAAGTTGAGATGAAATGCACACCTTGCTGAAGGCAGGCAAAACCGTTTTTTTTTTTTCGGATTCTTTTGGAGCACCTCTGTAGTATTCGTGAGTAATATATTTTTCACAGTCCCTCCATAAAGGTAAGTTGAAGTATTTCAAATCATTTTTCATGCTTGCATGCTGCTTGTAATTGTAGTAGTTGTATTGTTGTTCAGCAATTAACTTATTTTTGATCCTTTAACCAAAGTGATATGTTTTTCAGAAAGTTCACTTTGTTATCTTACAGGGAATTTCTGGCTAATATCCTTCTCTCTTCATTCATATATTTCATATATGTAGGTGATTTAATCCTTCTATAACAAAAATTTCCAAAAATCCAACCATAAAAATATATTTTAACAGATTTTCTATTAATTAATTAACATAATAATGTAGCTAATGAAGACTATTTTTCTTAAAAGTACCTATTCGTATAGTTGGATAGAACTATGCATTCACTCATATTTTAGCATAATTTCATGGTCCTGCAATATCACTCTGACAAAAGGCTTTTAGGAATTGTTAGATCCTTCAACATGACTCTGACCAGTTTTACAAAAAATGATCCTTTTTGTTTGAATAAATTAACTCAGTTCTTTATTTTGAATTATTAGTCTGCATGTTTCTTACTAATCAGTAAGGTTTCTTAGTAATATGTAAGGTACCTACTATCATCTTATTTTCTTAAGATAAAAATAATTTTGATTAACATTTGTTCTTAACCATTTATCGTTAAGTAATAATAATTTTAATGGGAATAATTCCAACCATCCTTATGACAGACACCCACAACCAATCGTATTCATCGATTTTGAATTTTAATGACTTGATAACAGCATCATTTATGTATATTTTTTCCTGCCATGTGCCCAGAATAATTTTGGCTGTAATTTCTCTTTCTTTTTTTCCCTGTCAATTATTATTCTTGAGAAAAATTACTATCCAAACCCCAATTCCTGATCGAAATCTTCCCAAACTTGGGATCTGGTAAAGTCTTTTCTGGACTCATGAACATTCCGTAAAATACCATCCAAAGTCATTATTAACTTCTTTTTTTTTAGATTGCAGTTGAAAATCTACAATATTGATTTCTGAACTACATGTACCTAATTTATCAGTACCTATGAAAAACCTGTTGTGCCTGAATCAGCCAATTCATTAGGATCACTTTTACCCTCTAGAGCTCAGCTCCCTGGAGGACTGTCATTTCAGTAATGGCAAATGCAGCTCACAAATCCATAAATTTTGTAGAACTTATCCAACTCACCTCTCATCTCTCCTGAAGGAGCTGTTACACATGATGCAGTAGTAATGCTCTTAATTTATTTCTTTTTCTTTTTTTTATTATTGGTATCTCTTTCATATTTTACAACTTAGTACTTACTTAAGTGTTTTTTGACTTTTCAAAAATCAACACTCCTAATTCTCGCTCCTAACTTACTTAAAGATAATGTGCAACTATCTTATATTCAATTTAAATTGACTCGTTTGTTTGAAAAAATAACCAACTTCTCGAATCCACACTTGTAATGGGAGAAGAATCTTGAGAGGGTAGTGCATTTTTGATACATTTTTTAGTTTCCTATTTCAACTGAACTGGAAGGAATACGCAATTGACTCTTTTATCTTTATTCTTTATGATTTTTTTTTTTTTTTTTTTTTTTACCCAAATGATAGATGAGAGCTTTTACCTTTTTCAATATTTTTAATGATCAGCTTCTTATGCATTACTCAGCTTACAAAAGAAAAGTTACAGAGATGCATCAGACTTCTGAAAAACAGCACCAAAACTTAGGTACCATTAAATCTCGAAAATTACACTGAAACCAGTAAAATACACATTTAAGCATGTGCCTATTTTCAAAAATGTTAAGACTTTTGGAAAATGAATGACTATTGCGCTGTAGTGCGTACTTTTCGACTTAAAATTGTATTCTTTATGCAAGTTGTAAATTTTAAATACTCAAATTTAATAATTTTCAGCGCCAGGAAAAGACCAATTCCGTATCACTGGCCAACACCACCAACTCCATCATCAGTCAGTAGCTGGTCCAGTCGAGAAGCTCCATCCTCCAGAAGCTGGTCCCGCAGTCCTGTTTACAGTCATTAATCCTAATGTTGTTGCGTAGAATTGTGTGAAAGCATATTACTCACACCCATACCAGGTATTCTCTGTACTTGAAGAATTTTCAATAAAAAGTCAAACATGAAGTGTAATGATTAAGCTCAGAAACAAATTTCCAACTGCATAGAATGAGGAAAATCATCTTTTTCACGTAATTTATCAAGCACTGATGTCTGCTTCAGTCCTTATCTCTTTGCACCAAATGTTCTGAAAAATTGTGTCTAACGCACTTCAACCATTTGTCTGTTTTTTCTCTTAGGATTATCGAGTACCAAAGAATCTTAAAATTCTGCAATATCACTTTGTTCTAGTCAAAACTTAATTTTAGTCAAATTTCTAATTGTTCTTATTATGTTATTTAGTTGGTTATGTATCCAAATCCAAATTCTCCTTTTCTCATCCGCTCGGAATATGCTATTCTTGCTACTACAAGGAAGTTCAGCATTATTGAACTTAATTCATGACTTTTTGCATAACCATGGCATAGAATACGTTGTACCTATCCATGCTTCGTTGTAAAAAAGGCACCGACAATGTTGACCTTAACTTAATCTAGTCAAATTTTATGTGTTTCATTATATCATTTATGCTCAGATACTGACATTAAGGTCAGTTTTTTATCACAAGAAAAGACGAGCTTCTTTCAGAGCATATTTCAGAAAATTAACCGGCTTGCTTGTAAAACTAACTAGATGAATTTATATTGTGATATTCAATTTTTTTCCAATAGTAATTGTCTTTGAACTGCAAGTTTTATTTAAAGACAAAAAATGACATGGTATTAGCATTTTTTGCTGTTCAGTATTTTTCTCCCTTTTATTTCTATTTTTTTAGAAGCCTGTATGCATTCCATACGTACCATCTCATTCCATTGTTTCTTGATGACCATGAGAAGTGAAATAATTAAGTTGTTTCGTCTCATAATTGAATGTATAAGTATTGATGTGTTTCTTCTTTCGGTTGTTGAAAAGATTTATTCTTCAGCTATTTAGAACTTAGAATTGGTCTTTTTCTGTAATTTATTTTATTTTATTTTATTATTTATTTTTTTTTTTTTTATTGTTTTCAATATTTATTGATACCTACCCTTGTTAGTTAATTTTTTCACGTTAAGGCTACATCTTTTTTTAGACTGTGAATCACTTGTTTGATCTCTGTTTTTGTATTTAAGCCTGATGATGTATCCTAGTGTGTTTTCTTTGAGTGTTGTCCAATCGAATTTTCAAATTTAACTCTCAGCCAAGAATGCCTGATCTGTTTTAAAATTTAAAAGAGATAGGCAGGAAATTAGAGAGACAGTTAAATTCATCTATACTTAAACGTAGAAGTAAAAAAAAAAACTTCTCTTTCCCATTCAATGTCTTGGGGAGCTCTCATGAGAAGTTTTGCACTGCTAAATCGAGAACATTTCCACTATTCTCTTGCAAGACATTTCTATACAAAGAATTTCTCCTCTTATTAAATGATGAGTTGCCTATTTTTTTCAATGATAAACTTATTATAACAGCTTCTCATGATTTTAAAACAACAGAAATTAGTGTATTGAGGTATCAATGTTGTTCCCCTATTTTAAATTTAATTCTTAGGAAGGAATTTTTTATAAGTTCATTTTGTAAACTTTCTGATATCAGCTTCTAAACAATAATTTGATCTCTTTAAAATTCGGAATTTTCTGTGTGCCTTGCCACTTAAAACTTAGCTTCTGGTTTCTTGGATCATAATTTTGCCCCCCCCCCCCTCGTATCAATGAATTCTTCTGTAATATAAATGCATAGATAATAAACTGTTTTATTACTATTTAGAGCCTCCCTCCCCCTCCCCCCCCATCAAAATAATAGAAAGTGAAATATGTGAAAGACTGTTTGTAAGGTTGTCACGGAAGTTATATTCTTGAAAGTATAACAAGAAGAGACAGTGTCATAGATGCAAGAAAAAAGAAGGCGAAGAAGGAAAAAGTTAAACAAGTTGATTTTATTTACATGAATATTAATATCAACAGAATTTTATATGCATCTTTTCCATTTTTCTGTTGACAGTATTGTCTGGAAGTATTTTAAGAACTTCACTCAGCAAGCTTTAGTAAGCAGTAACATTAAAACAACATTGCCGAAAAATTCCTGGCAAGATTGTAGCAAAATACTACTGTTGTATGCGTTGCTAGTATGGAGCCGTATTGCAATAGATAGCTTTCTGATAATGTCTCCCTTGCAACATGAGCTGTAATTTCTCGTGTTAAGTGAAACTTTGAGTCCTTGTCATTTGCTCGACTCATATTGTTCTAATGTTGTTGGTAATTTCAATCAAATATTGTTGAAGAATTAATTTATTAATCTATTTATTTATTATACCTGTAGGTATGCTTTTAAATCAATCAATTATTTATTTTCTTTTTGTTGCATTTATTAAATCATTCCTTTTGTATCTCCAAAACAATCTAAGTGTTTGTTCGGTTTTTTTTAGAAGTAGGCAAAGTTCATGAACCATGTACTAATTTCCCTCTCAATCTAAAATTTGACAGGCATTATACCTATTCCTCTTCTCAACATGTTCAGGGTTTGAAGTACTTTTTTAACAATGTTTTTTTTGATGATATTTTTGGGCTACCTATCAATATCTGTTGAATTTTAGTATTGTACTAGATACAATCCTCTCTCTGATTTGAAAGCCCAAAAGGTTTCTCTGCTTATTGATTTAAATTATTTAAGAAAACTTATATTAAATATTTAAATTCTTTAAAAAAATTGTTTTATTGAGCATTGGAAATAACTTTGTGAAATTAGAGATTCTACTCGACTCATCATGGGGGAGAAATAAACATCTAACCTCTGCTGAACTCTGGATATTGTTCGTTTCTCCATGAGATACCTAATCATTCAACATTCCTCTTTTTTTATCTCCCTTCTTAAAGATATCTTCGCTATCCGAAATTTTTCTTCAGTTATCATCTAGTCAAAATATGTGTAAGTATAGTTGAAATTTTTTTTAGCAATGTTGCTGTATTTGATACATTGATTTGTTTTGTTTTTACTGAATTTGTTTGGTTTTCGCCAGAATACTCAATATCAAAATACTCATTACATAACTGTCCCGATAGTTGATTTATTTGTAATATACCATACATTCACAGCCTTTCGTCTCTTTTCTTCTTATCCCCTTAATACGGGATGATCCTTACAACCCAAGACCCAAACTGCAATAACATTGTAAATAAATAGATAAAAAAACTTTCAATGTCTAGAAAGACATAAGTAACTTTAAAAAAAAAAAAAAAAAAAAAAAAAAAAAAAAAAAAAAAAATTAATAAATAAATTTTTATGGAAACTCTTTTCGGGGATTTTTTCAAGGAAAATCAGTGCCTCTTGATGATAATATTTATGTGTAACATTTGGTGAAATTAACCCATACTCAAAGCATTTCCTTTTTGTAGATCACCTGTCACCCCCACCTCCATCTCTTTTGAAATACAACCAATCATAGCATCATTATTGCACAAAATTTTGTGTAGGTAATTTTCTCTCACATTTTCTAAATTTATTCTGGAAATCTTATGCAAAACTATTTAGTATTATCCACATGTAAGATTGAAATAGGTATGGGATGCAATTTGAAAACACCACCAGATAGTTTTCTGTTTTTTAGTTCTGCATTTTTGGCAGAGTATTTTGGAGTATTTGATCNCCCCCCCCCCCCCACAAAAGAAACATCCCACAGCATCATTGTTGCGGTTTTTCTTCTTTTTTTGAGGGAGCGACCTGGGAGCGTATCCTCCCCCTCCCTTCCACGAAAAGTTCTGCTAGCTTCATCCATGTGAAAGTCAAGAGCAAGCGAGTTAAAGTAAAGAATCTTCGCCAAGACTTTCCCTTGTAGTAAGAACTTTAAAAAATCTCCTAAAAATTGTAAATTTTAATCACTAAACTCACTATAAAACTGTTAAAATTTACGGAGAAGGAAACCCTTTTTACTATGGATTTACGAGAGGTTAAATTTAATTAAAGTAATCGTGATTAAAACTCTGGACTTTTTTTACTTTAATACTGTGCATTTGAGAAGAATGTATTATGGAACTCGCCCCTTGGGTTCGAATCTGCCGCGAAATTACAATCCAAACATGCGACGTGCGCGCGCAGCAGAGCCTCACTTTTGGGCGCCTCATCCCTCCCGTGTGTTATGCCCGTGTGTGGCACCCAACGGTACCCCCCATTTAAACCTAACCTAAACCCAAACAAGATGTTTTCAAAAATTCGAGCGCCAAGGTAATGGTAAAGAGGTAAAGTAAAGGTAAGCGAACTTAGCAATCCGTTTAATTCTTCATTTTTGTTTTCGACTTTTACATCAATCGAAGTTGAAGGGTGCTCGTAAAATTTAAGTTTTTCACGATCTCCTTTCAATTCTACTTCAACCTGCATAATGAAATTTCAGTACGGACGCATTAAAAATTGGGGCACGTACTTCTAATTGTCTACTATGTATCCATGAGTGACTGTAATCCTACTTCCCTAAGTTTCTACCTTTTTACTTACTTACTACGTCTCCAAGTCTTTCTACAACACTTGTTTTTCACTCTTTACTGTGTAGGATGATCATCAATTAAAATCACAATGAGTCAACTGAGCCAAGCGATTTTTGGTAGCCAGACTGTCACGTCTCAAACGTACACTCAAGAACTGGATGAAAGCACTTTTGCGTTGTTGACGTCTCCCCGAGATGACTCCGTTTATGGACTTTTATTCCCGAGGAAACCGTTTTTGAAAACTATTGGTATGGTTCCTCTATCTGATCTATTAATTAATAATTTTATATACTTTATACCCAAGATATCAATACCTGTTTCACAATACACTCACACATGTTTTGTAATCTTACACCTTCACTGTCAGATAAGCACCTTGGTAATTGTCAGCTCTCAGAGTTCTATCATTACACTTCAGTCTGAAATACTAACGGAACCTGGCTTCAAACTGAAAGTGGTTGTCATCTCCTCTATTGTCAGTATACATGACAGCATGCATTCAAATCAGCAGCCTCATCCCCCCCTCCTTCTCCCAAATCAATAACTGCAGCTGAATATCCTCTCTAAAGATGAAAATTAAAATTCTCTGAGGTTATTCCATTGACGTACAATACAATCTAGACCGCGCATTAGGAAATTTCGGCGAGATGATAGGCAACCCAGCAAGTGTACCGGCAATATGTACCGAGACAATGGAAATGCCAGTCTTGCCAGTGCCGTTAGCCGTTGCCTGGTACACCTCGTTCGTGTATCCGGCTGAATCAACTAAGCTGAAGGCGCGTCTTTACCCTGATTTACTCCGCTAGCTGTCTTACCTCCCCCGCCTAGAGTCGGGCCTAGTGCGCGGTCTAGATTTTGTTATAAGTCAATGGGTTATTCTGAGCTGTTGAATTGCTTAAGTAGCAGTCTGAGATGTAATCAGAAAATGAACGAAGATCCCTCAAGGATGGAACATGACAGGTGGGATTGCCTTGTCACACCAAGGCTGAGGGTTTCATGAGATGATTAACATCATTAATCAGCATATTCTCAGTAGATAATGAGTTAATTGGATTATGTATATTTGATGATTTACCCATCAAGGTATTTGAACAGCCTCTCCAGTGGCACACTTATTTGCATGGGTAATATGCAGTTTAAAGATGCTAAGTATTGGGTAGGGCAACCTCGAACTCCAGTGCTTATTGCCTTGCTTATCGGAGCTATCAGCAAGGCAGTCAGCACTGGGGCTGGAGGTTACTCTAGTAGTGAGAAACTTCAGTTAATAACAGGAATAATATCCATCCAATTTAGGGCAGCAAGACCTTTCAGGGGACTTAAATCTGCTCACTTAACATTCTTCTCCACGAAGATTGAGCCCAACTATTGCTCAAATTCTCAAGGCTAAAGTCCTGCGGCCTGATTATTGAAACTATGTCCGAACGACAAGACAAGACAGCCCTATCTGAACCATGCAATAAATTTCATTTCAATGTCTTATCAGGCTGCTTTAAACTTGGATTAATCGGCCCCCCGGTGCCTTTTCTGGTTTTGGTGTAAATGGAGAAGTCTAGTTAGGAACATAAGGCAGCTACACGATCAATCCAGACGGCTAAGCGGGGGGGAGGGGGGGAGCAGTATACACTGCGTGGATGGTTTAATATCAATGAAAAGCGTCTCGGTCAATTAAGGTCGATCGTTTTATTCAATCTGAGGGGTCAGAGAATTGACAGGATAAAGAATTCCTTAAGTCAGAATGTTTTAAGGACAGTATCAACCAGGTGTTCATCATTAGTGTGAGCAATAGTATTTCTTTATCCTCAGATTCCAGCAAAGCTATCTTGGTCGCTTTGTCTTTTGCTTTTAATGCTAACTTCCACCGAACTTCAGATTAAATAATTGACATTTTGTTGGATCGGTTTTGAGGCTTTATAGTCGCCCCAATGAAGCCAAAGCTGAGGTGGAGATCAAAGCGTCAGGAGCAAGAGAAAGGTCTGATCAAAGGTGCTAAAAGTTCTTCAAAGTAAAAATTAGTGGCATTCTCAGCCTGTAAATTCTGCATTCTTGGACAACTTCACACCTCTGCCAAAATGTCAAGAACATTGCACTAAGCGAAAAAATGCCCAAAATAAGCATATTCTCTGTTAATTTTTTTTTATACAGAGCAACAAAAAAAAATTCCTTGCAAGCTCAAGGATTTCTTCATGCCACCCAGGTGCTGGAGCTTGCTTGTTTAGCATTTTCTACACCTCTGAGTCTATTTGAAGAAATGATCCAATGAAAAGGCCATCTGAGGGGCTTGGAGGACAAGGCGCATAAGTGCTGTTTTTGAAAAAATTGAAATATTAATGATTGCAAATATAACTAGTCTTGATGTACATTCTGTGAAAAATTCGATCCCAAAGGCCAATTTTTGAGCATCAAAAAGTCAGTTTGAACTTTCTCTCCGCCATAAGGATCCATGTTATTTCAAAACTTCGAACATGTATTTCTTGAAATAGCAGAAACTGTACTTATATACCTTGTCCTCTAAGCCCTTCACCTCATGTTGAGGCTCTTATAGCTTGAACTCTGTAGGCTTTTATTCCAGCCCATAGTAATACTGAGAAGAAATAAAATTCTGCACTCCTGCTAGTTCAGAGACAAGTCGGAAAGCACTGATCATTTAGTCTGTCATTTTAATGTATTATCTAAGTATTGCTCTGTGAGCTTAGGGTCAAAGCATCTTCAACTAACAATAAACTGGTCAGAAAGTATACGTCATTAGATCTCTAAGGATACACCTTTTCTTAGTCTGCCTGAACAAAGACAACTCAGTCAAATTAAAATTCTGTAGGTACACCGTTTTGTAGCATTGGTGTGAGCCATCTATTGCCATTCATATCCTTTCAACCAATCGGTCTCCAAACAATTACTAATAGGTATTTAATTATCCTAGGTCCCCAGACCTCCAACAAGCTTTGAAGGGAAAAGAGCCACCTTCCTGTGGTGTAGTAGTTGTAGTGCTAGTCCTATGACCAAGAGGTCCCAGGTTCGATTCCAGGCCAGGTGACCTAAGTTTGATGGTCTCAGGCAATGATCATCTGGGGCTGGGGTAATAAGCTTGGGATTAGCCCAAGAACCCTTTGCACTTGGGACAGTGTAGCCTTTCCAATAACCTTACTTGATCTAACATATTTTGAAAAAGTTGATATGATGTCAAATGTATATCATGTTTATATTTTAATTCTCCAATGAAGATTATCTAAATTTTTTTTTCTTTTTTTTTTTGTGCAGAATTGAAAACAGGTGAAACCTATACCTTTGGAAGAAGTCCAAACTGTACGGAACAGTTCCTCGAGAAGGATTTTTCTCCATCAAGTAGCTACATGACATTGAGCTTTACTCATTTTCAAATCACTCGCCAGCAGATTTGTTCTGGCTCCGATGTACAAGCCATAATACAAGATCTTAGCTCAAATGGAACATACCTGAATAGAGCTAAAATTGGGAAGAATAAGTTTAAAGTGTTAGCCCATAACGATGTCATTTCTCTTTTAAATCCCGATTTTGAAGGTAAGACAGTGTGCTTTTTGCATTTTTTGATTTCCACCTCTTGTTTGTTGAAGTTTCTTACTCAGCATACCCCTTAAAGTTATTTGTTCATTCATTCCTCTTTTTTTACCAATCCCCAATTTCTTTGAATTATAATTCTATTTACTAGGTACTGAAGAGGAGTTATGCAATATTTATGAGTTTTCAGCGGAGTAAAATTTTTTGTACAGTCACTCAAGTTACATAGGTTGTCCCAAAAGTACTGCACGTTTTTTTCTTATTGACGAACGGTAGTAGATATCAAAATGCGGTTTGTGTAGTCTTAAAGACCGGCCAATTACCGATAAAACAAGACAAATCCGAGCTCTCTAAGTCAAAAATTGACCAAGTTACAGCGTTTTGAAAATGACTTGTAGAGGGGACCCCTACGGAATTTTCAGGTTCTCTTCTGGAAAAAACAAAGAGTTGATTGTTTTGTTTTTTTTTGGACAAACGGTAGCAGATATCAAAATACGGTTTGTGTAATCTTAAAGACCGAGCAATTACCAATAAAACAAGACAAATCTGAGCTCTCTAAGTCAAAAAATGACCAAGTTACAGTGTTTTGAAAATGACTTGTAGAGGTGACCCCTCCAGGATTTTTAGCTTCTTTTCTGGAAAAAACAAAGATTTGATTGATCAAAAATTCTACAGAGAAATCGTCACGATCGAATGAAGTTGGTAACATGATATCAGCCCAGACCTTGCACCCTGCGATTTTTGGTTATTCCCCACGTTGAAAAAGGGCTTAAGAGGCAGGAAGTTTAACTCCATCAACGAGATGAAAAGAGCGGTTGAAACTTTCTTAAAGAACATTAGGCAAGAAGAATTCGAAAAAACCATCTTTGAAGAATTGGGAAGATCGGTTGCGGCGCTGTGTGGCAAGAGATGGAGGGTATTTTGAGACGGAAACTAGTGTCCAGTCATCCAGTGAAGAAGAGTAAATGCTAGTAATCTTGGTAAGATTCTGCAAAATTGATTTAATAAAACCACTTGAATCCTTAATTCTTTGTTTTTTTTTTCCAGAAAAGAAGCTGAAAATCCCGTAGGGGTCCCCTCTACAAGTCATTTTCAAAACGCTGTAACTTGGTCAATTTTTGACTTAGAGAGCTCGGATTTGTCTTGTTTTATCGGTAATTGGCCGGTCTTTAAGACTACACAAACAGCATTTTGATATCTACTACCGTTCGTCAATAAGAAAAAAACGTGCAGTACTTTTGGGACAACCTATGTAGCTGTTTTGTAGACCCCAGCAGCCTTTTTGTTAACATTTTGTGGGAAGCTCTGTAGTTGATCCGCACTGATGGATGGGTCTGTTGCTCCACTGATGACACTAATGTCAGCAATGCCACAGGATTCTTATGATCTATCTGATCCAATGCAAATATTTGCTTCAGCTTAAAAAACCAATCAAAAAATCCTTTCGATTTTTCGCAAATCAACAATTTTGCAGTTTTTTCTTGGCATGCTGATGTATGAAGATACCAGTTAGGATGCTTTTATTTTGAAATTGGTCACTCATGGGAACCAATAGCAGTATTACTGCACAACATAGGGTTGTAAGGTATAGCATGCAATCTTTACGTTTTTACTGACCAAAATTTTTCTCTCAAAAAATGTCGAGAGAACCTTTTTTTACATTCAAAAAGAGCATTGATCGCCATATCTCTGAATTCAGTCGGACGTTTTTACGAAAAATCGATCCACCCTAATCATGTATCATTGTGCATCTGCAGATTCTCCAATTTTACTATCACACTACCCACGTGTAGAACTAATATTCTCATGGCTTCTTTTTTTCCAGTTTACATCTATACAGATGCAAAAATAACAGAAAAACCAGAAATTCCAATAGAAGTAAGGAGAGACTATGCTGTAAGTCGTAAATTAGGCAATGGTGCTCAAGGACAAGTCTTCCTTTGCATCAATAAGGTGAGCAAACATTTCTATGTTTTCATTATTTTAATTCAGTACCTGCAAGTCAGATTCTAAAAAGATTCAGTACTTAGTCTTATCAGAAAATTTTCATTTCTAACATATTGAATTATTGCTTGTAGTGTCATTTCATTGTTACGGGTGTGACAACAATTTAACTTTAAACAAGAATTTGGACACTTTCTGGGCCAACCTGGGCAGTATTTGTTTCATTGAGAAAGAAAAATGCATAGTGGTGAGTGTGTTGATCAGTCTGCGCCCTTTGATTTTATCTGCTTATTACTTAATGAATCTTGAATTCAATAGTTGCTCTTTTTTAATTTCCTCTCATTTTCCCTTTTTACATAACAGGCAACTGCGGAACAATGTGCCATAAAACAGATTCTCAAAGCTGATAATAGAAATGTTCTGAATGAAGTTAATATTTTGAAGAAATTGCAGCATGTAAGTATTAACAAAGACATTGAATCATTGATAATTTATCTCTTTCTCACCACCGTGTTTAATGAACCACTAGACAAGTTGTGAATTTAAGCATTATGTGATGTATGTTCTCTCATCAAAATTGCTCATGGAACACGATTTTAACCGGAAAATTTCAACTTTGTAACCAAAATATTTTTGTTATTTGATGTATGAATTCAAACTTCCCGCTCATAAATAAAAACATAATCTACCCGGTAAATCTCTCACTTAACATTACTGAAACAGCCATTACGTAACAATCTCTGCAGTATGAGAATATGGCAATCCCAAGCTTGGTGGCGCGGTTCTAGCTGTTGCTTGTTGTTTATACTTTGAACAAAATAGTGCGGGCAAGTTTTAGTTGTCGGAATGTTGAGGTATGTAGGAACAAGTTTCGGCTGCATAACGTTTGCGCACACTTTTCTTACCGATAACGTTTGCGCACACTTTTCACGAATATCATTTGCGCACACTTTTTACCGATAACGTTTGCGCACACTGCACTATTTGGCAACGCTGCAATGATGCTCCAGTAGTATCGCTTCGTGATAAGACAATTCAACGGACGGATAATTTATAAGCGGACGAGGGGAAATTTTCATTTAAATAAATTTTAGTAAGCAATCAATAAGTAAATGAATAAATAAGTTAATAAGAAGAAAATAGAAAATGAAGAAAGTTAAGAAAATAAGGTATATGGTTACTCACAGATTTTTTGCTGTTACTTCAGCTAAAAATGCTGTCAACTGTCTTCACCGGAATCATCTTCAGTGCAAGGACGGGTTTTAGGGCTGTTTTTAGGGCAGGTTTCATTTGAAGAGCAAGTTTCATCAGCACCATTTTCAGAAATGGATTCATCAAGCTCGTCTGCATTGAAAGAGTCATTTACAGCCTCCGGGTTATTTTCTTCGTCTGAATCATTTTTGTCGGGGTATTTAACTTCACGAACCATTTCCAGAAACTCCGTAATTTTCAGGTCCTTATCGAGATACGAATTGGTTAAAACAATAATTTCATCATCTTTTTATTGTTGATCCTTCCGTTTAGTGAACACCTCATCATTTCGCACAGATTTAATTTTCAAAGACACTATATTCTGAGCGTTAAAAAATTGTTGAGAGGCTTCGTAGACATTCGGATGATGATAGTAAAACTCATCATTGCAGCGTTGCCAAATAGTGCAGTGTGCGCAAACGTTATCGGTAAAAAGTGTGCGCAAATGATATTCGTGAAAAGTGTGCGCAAACGTTATCGGTAAAAAAATTGTGCGCAAACGTTATGCACCGCAAGTTTCATGAGTGGATCACTAAGAAGGGTTTGTTTAAGTATTTACAGTCTGGACCATTATCACTGGATGTATTGATGTGGGTTTTTAATTTGTTCTGTCCTGTAGTCAAAGCACTTGAATTTTCGTTACAATATTTTGGCCGTATTTTCTAATTTCACTTTTTATTTTTCATTTTTTTGGGTTTGTTATTGTTACTCATAAATTTTCTCTTCCTCAGAGCCACATCGTGCACATGCAAGGATACATCGAGTCGCCATATGCCGTGTTCATCATCATGGAGTACATGGCTTGTGATTTAGAAGCACTTCTAGCTGAAAGAGAATATTTGGAAGAAACAGAATCTAAGCTTGTGTTCTATCAAATTGCTCAAGCTGTCGAGTACTTGCATAGCAATCGGATAATACATCGAGATTTAAAGGTAAGCTGTCCTCCACCTTGTTTTAAATGAGTTATAATTCAAGGGAAAAACAGAGCAGCATAGCAAATATAATATGACAGCAACGTAGTAGATATGATACTGCAGTGTCTTGGCACCTGGCATTTCTCATACATATATCGTTCAGTGAGGAGTGCATCTCTAGGCTGTACACAGCTCTAAAGAAAACTTCTATCACTATTCGGTCCAGAATTTTTACAAGGGCTCTTTACCCCTAGAGCTCTTTTCCTGTGATTGAATGCAGCCTAAGTGTCATTCAGCAATTAAACGATACAATGAACAGTAACAGTGGCGAGCAATTGGTTGCTTGTCAAGATAGTATATTTACGAAAATCGTTTCAAAAGCAAGTTCCAAGGTTGTATTTCTCCAAAACTTTTAAAGTATAAATGCAGTGAACAAACTTATCCATCCTACTTCCAGCTGTCTAATGAGCTGAATATGTTGAAGATTGGGCCACTATACTGCTGTGAAAATCTATTTTACTGGACTAACCTCTCAGTGCAGGTCCAGAAATGCAACTTTGGTGTGCGCGCAGAATGTCAGAATAACAAAAACTAATCAACGGTCCCACAAAAGATAAGTTGAAAAGAGCCTGCCTCACTTTTCAACTTTTTCTCTTTATTTGTCCTAACACTCCTGATATAACTGAGGCTATGAAGGACACAATGCTTTTTACTGCATTTATTTATCTCAAATGGTTTCGATGGAATGATGACCCTCCTATAATGCAAGGCATGTTGAATCAATATTAGATTGGGATTTCAGCCTTCTGTGCCATCATATGGCAAATTAGTTCTGTTTATTTTACTAATCCTCATAATTTTGTCATTTTTTATTTTTTCTTCACAGCCTGCCAACACTCTGTTGCTGTCCAAAGAGATTTTGTTTGTCAAACTGACAGATTTTGGTCTCTCTAAACATAACACCACAATCACAAGTCCGGATACTTTTTGCGGCACGGCTGGGTTTGTGGCTCCAGAAGTGATAAGAACTTTGAAGACAGGAATTCCATACAATACACAAATAGATGTCTGGAGCTTGGGTGTAGTATTATTTTACTGGTGAGTTTTATTTTTTTTTATTTTACCATAATTCTAGTGTTACCTATGAGGTCTCTTATCCATTCTCAAGATCTCAACAATTTAGCGTAAGCGCAAACATTACGGAAGAATTTGTCCTGTATATTAGCTCTCTGCAGGAATCAAAAAAATTTCCACACAGAATTATTTTGATGCATTCTTTCCAAAAATTTTCATCATGCTCAAGAAATTTGCATAGCTTTGTGGCAGGAAGACCACCCCTGTGTAATCCTCATGTTTTTGCCATTTTTCCATGTAAACAAATTATGGATGAGTGCAGCTGAAAGTGCTCGACCACCCGGTGGCAAGAGAAAGGTGAAGACAAATGAAAAGGGGATAAAATGTAAAGGCAGAATGTACTGGGGTGTTTTCTTTTTTAAATGGTATAGCTTCTTTTTATGAATGCGCTACCAAGGAAACTCCTAAGCGCTTTATTTGTTGAAAAGGAAATTGCTGTTTGTGTTGATTCTCGTGAAGGGAACTATGTTCCAGCTCACTTAGTAGAAGAAAATAGCAAAGGACGCAATCCTATATGGACAACAATGTGAAGACAAATAACTTTCTGCACTCTTTAGTTGTAAAATAATTGATGGATCCCCCCCCCCCCCCCCCAAAAANAAAAAAGTGACAACCATAAAAATGGAGAAATATTTTTGCCTTCTCCCAGTCCACAAGATAGTAGGATTTATCATCTCATCAACCACTGCCTCTTCGACCCTAAGAACCCTAGCCAGGCTAAGCCTATGGCCCTGGTGACAAGGATGTCTACAGGCACAGAAAAACTTATAAGTAGAAACGCTTAGCTGCCAATATTTCACTTCCCCACGGTATGTATGCAAAAATGTAGTATTATTAGCCTTGCTCATTAAAAAATGAGTTCATATGTAAATTTTTCTGTTTAAAAGATGAATGAGCCTCCAAAGAAAAGTTCAGGCTATTTATCGATGGCCAAAGTGCCAAATCCTGTATCACCATTTACAGCGCTGCAAACTACTTGTCATGCTTTACACTTTCTTTGGAAAAAAAAGTCAAAGTCATTCATTGAAAACTTCCTTGATTGTTCCTCTTTATTAACAGAATACCTCCTCTGAATAAATTTCAAGCTACCTTTTAATATGATTTCTTTTTCTTCAAAAAAAAAAAAAAAAAAAAAAAAAAAAAATTGGAGCAAAAATTAAGAGACATTGCGATAGAGGCACATGGTTTTGTACTTCTACCATCAATATATACTTTTTTAAATAAGTACCTTTCATGGCCTTACTCAAACCAGGTTATTCTTGTAAAATGATAAGTGTGATAGGACGTCAGTTGGTGCATAGACTGTTGCTAATTGTCAGAAAAAAAGTCAGCAATTATTGTCTTCAAAAGTAAGAAGGCATTCTGCAGTCATTACTTTTTATGCTTAGCTATTGCGGAAGCAAATAATCTCACCATCTTGATAACCACATTGTCTCTATATCTAAGTATTTACATTTTTCAGTCTAAGCGGAACAAAACCTTTTGCAAGAACTGAAACTGAACCTGCACATGTGCGAATTCTCAAAGGTCGATTTAGTTTTTATGCTGAGCGATGGCAGGTCATCAGTTATGAAGCTAAAACGCTGATCAGCGAAATGTTTAAAGTTGACCCAGAACAAAGGATTACAATCCGGAATCTTTATAGACACCCTTGGATCAATCAGGTATGCATCATGATGCATTACTGCATGATACATTATTTTTAGCAGTTTTGTAGCTTTACATTCGCTGTTGTTAAGATGACAGGGAATATTTGGATTGCATTTTGCACAAAGGAATCAAGAGCATTCCAACATCGCAAGGATTGTGCAATTGGCATTCTTTGCAATGCAATTACTGAAATCACGCAAAAAATTGAATTTACTAAGGTAATTTTCATCATGAATTTATAGTTAATTGACAGTAAAGATGAATATTGTTTAAATTATCGGTTTATACTTGCAAGGTGAACCAAGTTGCACAATCTTAGCGACATTGGAATGCTCTTGGCTCCTTTTTGCAAAATGCAATCCATTTGTAATAAGAGTAGGGTCATTCTATGCCAAATCAACCGGACCAGTTTTCCACCCGTCTCGGATTTGCACTATTTTTTTTATTTGTTCTTTAGGTCAAAGTAAGAGAAAGTCCGAATTTTTAGCCCACAATACCCAGTAGGTTCTGAGAAAAAAGTTATCAAAGGTTTGATGATTTTTGAAAAATCGCATTTCTGGAATCCCCAAAACAGCTGTGCCTGTCCTTCAAAAAATCTCCATAAAAATTTGAGTTTTAAAGATATCTGGCTAAAAATTTGTACGCAGGTCACTAAGAGTATGCATGATATGAGAAAAAATGTTTTGTGGACCCAGACCATAGGTGAGTAAAGCACCGGTCAAAAATATATTTTTTAAGCTTCATTTTTGCGGTAAAAACTAGGTTTAGTAAAATGAGAGTAGCGAAAAAGGCGCGGGGGACATCCTTTTTTTTTTTTCCTAAAAAAAAATGACCCTTAGAGCATAATCTGAAAGGCTATGAAATAAAACATCTGGCGTTTTGTGGGTTCAATGTCAATTTTTACTCAAAATTGCTTGAAAAAGCTAGAAAAATCAAACTTTTAGACTATTCTCCACCAGAACCGATGAAAGGGTTGGTCAGACAGTAAAAAGGTTTAATTTAAACTAAAAGTTGGACCTTTTAATTCCCAAAATTTCAGGGTTTTACCAGGAGCCTCTTTTGAGTTGTAGCGCGCTGAACTTGGGTGAAATATAAATGACGGCCTTCTTGGTGCAACTAATTTCTCGGTACCCTGTTCATAGTCCTCTAGATAATAAAAGGCAAAAAATGAAATCTCCTAAAGTTTCAAATTTAATTGCCCCTGTTCTGTGAATTTATGAATTGAATATTTCAACAGAAAAACAAAAACAAAAAAAAAGTATAGTTCATTATTGCTGAACCTCTCGATTATATGTCTGTATACTCAATTTATTTTCTTTGTTTCAGGATCCTAACCTTGAATCACATCTCTGTGAACTTCATTCACAGGTAACAAGAAAGAGCTAAACTTCAATCTTTGACCTTCTATTTTGATCGGCTCAAAAGGTAGCTTAGTTTAACTTTTATCTCTGTTTTTTTATCCCGTTGATTAGGTATAACTAATTTACTGCCTTGCAGCCCAGCCTGAAGTATGACGGGTATATAACCAGTATTTTATTTTGTTTGATGTAATTATTCTATCTCATTCTAACCTTTCAATTTTTACATCTCAAGGGGGATCTTCGTATTCCATACATTTGCATTTTGTACTAGACATGTGCGATTATGATTTTTTTAGATCACTGGAAAATATCTATGGTTTTGACTTTTTTTATGCTCTCAACACAGCGCACACAATCACAAACATACCACCTGAACATGAGGTACGATCAAGCAAAACCTCCTCTGACACTCTGTGTTGCACTTAAAGAGCAAAATTTTCAATTATTAATCAAAAACTCACACTGATGATCAATGATAAGTAATTATTTTCAAAACAAATTATTTGATTTTGGATCTTTAATTACTGAAACAATTACTTTTGTCTTTTTTGCAACCCCCCCCCTCCCCCTTAAATGAAATGAATTACTTAAATTCTCTGAGCTTTGACTTGTGAGCCAGTGAGTTGCCTTATCAATCTCTTTCTATCCTCCTTGAGGCTGTTACAAACATTCTCTTTATGTAGGTTAGTTTTTCTTTAATGGTGTCAAGTAAAATCCTCCTCTCCGAAAAGGTAGAATTCTTGACAGTTTTCTTCTCGAAAATTTTTGTGTTCATGACTTTTGTATTTGTTATTGTTATAACTATTAAGTTCTATGATGTTAAATTACTTATAAATGAGCTTTTCTGATCAGAAATTGATCAAATCTAGAAACAAACTTCTTGTTCTGGTTTCACCCTGAAGCCCCAATTTTTTTGATTTTCAGAGACATTTCTGATTGGGAAAGTTTAACAATCTCCTCTCAATTCTATCCTTTCCTTGATTTAAATACCGCTGTGAAATTTTCGTACCAAGGTACTTTTCAATTTCCCTCCATATTTTAAGTTCTTAATGTAAATAGTTCTCTTAAATTAGCTAGTGTCTTTGCTCGAAAAAGATCATTGTTCAAATTTTTAAGAATGTGTTAATCAAAATTGCACTTTTTTTGTTTAATTGGCTATAAACGGGTACTAAAAATAATTTTTATGGTCGCTATTTGAACTTATCCTTTAAGAGTCTGCAGGAAATCTTGTTGGACCAACTTTTTAAAAGAAAAAAAACTTTCTTTTTTGAAGTGTAACTTTTGATACGTATTATCGTTTTTCCTTTAAAAAGAAAAATTATTTTAGGATTAAAAATAGAAAAAGAGTAATGTGCGGCCATTTTTTTAAGAACTTCTCATGGCATCAGATTCCATGTGTTACTAGCTTTAAGTATTTGTTCATCTTTGTGCCATTTGTGTATGTTTATTAGCGCTATCAAGCATTTTTTTTCATGTTTTAAGCGTTATGCAAATCAAGTTACCTCTTCTCAATATAATCACGTTCATATTGTGTAGAATAAAGGAAAGTGTCAATCTCAAAGTATCTAAGCACTTTCAAAGAAAAATAGGTGGAGCGTTCTGAGGAATAGCGAACTATTAACCAATATTCTTTCAGATTCTTTTATGAAAAAATCAGTCAGTTGAAATGCATATTATCTTTGAACCAGTACTTTTCCAGTGACTTAGTCTATTAACAGCAATAATCTTCTTTGATGCGATTTAAATTTTTTATTAATGGAACATCCCTTTGCATCTTACTATCTTGTATATGTAAATTTATGTTGGATTGGTAACAACATCGACCATTTATATTTGCGTGTCCCCTCCAAAATTGAAAAGATAGAAAAAAAAGAAGAAAAAAAACGCTCTCAAGAGTCTGAATGAAGTGGAAAGACTGTTCAAGTATAACTTTCAGCCACAATTTGAACTAACCTGATTGTTACAAGAAAGACCACCAAACAGAGTTAAAACTACAGTACGTTGACATCTTTTGCACAAAAACTATATATAAAGCAAGATGGATGAATTAAAAACCTCTGAAACTGCCCGATGAAAAAAAAATTGGCATTTTTTCGTAAGTGAATTTAAAATTTTCTTTCTCAAATAACCACCTTTTAGCCCAGTTAAATCGTGCGCCAGATTAATTTTAATATGCGTTTAACAACCTCTCTGCCCACTGATTTACTTGGCGCAAGATTTAAACTGCTTCATACCAGGAAGGGGAGAAAGGTCTTGTCAAATATCAACTTAAGGGTTTCCAAAACTTATTCTGGTTTGTTGAGTTTGAAACCATTGATTTGGGTTTTTTCTGTAAGCAGAAAGCTCAAATTCACTGAAATTCAATGCATATAATTAATACTAATCTCTTTTTCAGAGTATTTTCGGAAGAAAATGCACTATTTTCAGTTGATTTAAAAAATATCTACTCTCTGCTACTTTGGTGAAAGATGTCAATTTGTACTTAAAGTTTTAGTTTACTGTGTGATCTATCACAAGCAAAGGATTTTTATGATCGCATCACAAACTGTAATTGAATTTACTGCTCAGTATTTTTTAAATTTTCATATTTTACTTAAAGCAAGCTGGTGTATCAGCAACCTTAAACCATCCATAATTAAAGGAGTGCATAACTATATATTTGTTTTGAAACTTAACGAAATATCTTTATTGTCTAGTGCTTACTCCAATTCTGAGTGGATGTACAGTGATTTGATTGGACGTTTCCTCAAAATTTTAGTGAAATTCTGCGGGAAATGTGATCGAAATTTACTCCTGAGACCAAGATGACTTCACATCATAGCTCTCAGTGCTTGTCTTGTAAAACAGAAATGCAGATTGAAAGGGACAAATTCAGCAGGCAACTGTACTGCGCTGATTATGAGTAACTTCAGGATTAAAACCCTTCCGAGACAGTCATTACTAGCATTGCGCAAACAGCGTATTGCCGCAAGGGGAAATTTGCTCTCAAAATTTTATCTTTGTAATGAGTATTCTACTTTGCAGAATCAAGCACCAATAGCTACAACGTACTGTCTACATCATCTGCTTCAAATTAAAAGGTACTTTGAACCCATGCTGTTTTATTTTAATATACTGCTGTTTCTCAGCATTGTATTCAGCAGCATTTTCAAAATTCTCAAAAAGTTTACGTTAAATTTTTCTTCGCTTACTCTGTGATCTTCTATAACCGATGTATACTAGATAAAAGTCTCTAGAATTATGAGTAGAAAAAAGAGCTTATAAGTATCTTTCTGGCTGTCTGTTTTTATTAATATTTCTGTGATTTTTTTCATAATGTCTCAAATAATGCTCAGCTATTCTTGTTGATTACTTATTAATATTGAAAGTGACAAATCAAAATTTCAATGTTCATTTTTGTTTGAATAAATTAACTTTTTTCCAATTAAAGTTATTATTTTTTGAAGTACACCTTTTCCTCAAATAATTTCGGTTTTAAGTCATCTAAGCTCTCCTTTGAGTCTACTAAGAGAAATTTTCTTACCTGTTTTACCTAATTTTTTTTTTTTTTTTTTTTTTGGGGGGGGGGGAGAGACTCGTAAAGTAGAGGTCTATGCAGATTGATTTTGAGATTTAACATAATCAAAATTGGTTCTTAAAAAAGAAGAGTGACCTCAGCACCTAGTTTGTCTTGGTACCAAAAGAATAGGAGAAAAACATATCCTCCTGAGGAACTGATCTTAATTACATAGGATTTAAACTCTCTGCTCCCCGAATGATCCATTAAATTGTCAAGTTTTAAAAGAATGTAAGCACGGAAGCAAATAGAAGGGATCTGAACATTTCAGAGAAGGAGAAAAGAAAAATTATTTTCTTTTATATTCTATTTATTTTGTTGGTAACTACAGATTTACATTGATTTTGGATTATTAATCATTTGTTTCACTCTGTACAATACCCTCTTTTGCAATAGTAACAGAACAAGAAGAAAAGATGGGAATGGAACTGCTTTTCAAAACAGAAATGGTTCTAGTTGTTTCATGTAAATTTCTATCATCTATACGATGGATCAGCAATCTTGTACTAGGAACGTGAAGCCAGTATCTGCCCAAAAGCGGTCTAAGATCTTTGAATGGTGTGTTTGGCTCAACAGGCGCTTCATCAGAATGCTCAAGACATGCCTCTGGATCAAAAACTTTGGTTGCTAGGTTGACAACGAGGAACAGTAGGTGGAACTGTTTTGAAATAAAACGCATTAAAGAAGCGATATGATTCATAAAGCATAAACCTAGAACAAGAAGAGAATAATTTTAGTAAACATCTGTGAACTGAAGAGACACATCTGCGATCACGACTGTGAATGATGAGAGTATTAAATTTTGTGGTAGGAAATCATCATACATAGAAGCACCTATCTGCATTGGAAATAAGTCGCTCATATGTTGTTTCTGAAATAAATCAGAAATAGTAGTTCCTTCAGAGACAGATTTATTATTTTTCTGCCCTAGATTCTTAAAGTGATGACCTTTGAAGACTCACGAAATAAACAAAAATTAGTCATCACTTTTGAAACAGCTTTCAACGTTTCTTTAATTTGCCGCCATGACCTAGCAGCCCAAGACCTCCCTTCAATGTTGCCCTAAGTTCCTTATTGAAAAACCCAAGTACCACAAAGCAATGAAAATAATTAAATAAAATTACAATTTCTTGCAATTAAATTGTCGTTTTTTTTTTTTACCAAAAAATTGCAATACCTATTTTTATGTTGTTTGACCAATAAATGCCGATTTCAAAGATGAACAAAATGAGTTCCATGGGTCAGAGATGTGAAGCAATTTACAATGCCATGAAAAATCGAAACTTATTTTAAATTTTTAGCGATAAATTCTAGTAAGAAGTGTTCCTTCAATCAGTAGATAGGTAACATACACAGCACTCCGATGCAGTTGCGATAATTCTATCATGAAATTGCAATTTATCTCAATTTGAACTACTAAAGAATGTGATCTCAAATACATTTAAGGGATATCAAAATAATCTAAAAGAAAAACCGCTCTATTCGAGTGGACATATGCAGGAATTTTGATCTCTGCATATGTTCAGAGCCCCTTCCTTGCCACTTTGGATAAAAATTTAATTTAAGAAGTTTTGTCACTGACGGTCAATACAAAATTTATTGCCTAATTTCTCTTTTCTCCTACCTTATATTTTAAAAGTTATCGTGGAAAATAGAGAGTTTTGTACACACCATCGTTATCTGCTTCATTGAGCATTGGCAGATAAACACCGCTAAGAGAGTCTATGATTATTAATCGGCAGCATGTTTCTTGATTGCCCAAAGAAGTTTTCAACTGATGAAGGGTAGAAACAAGCTCGTCCATGGTCCTTACTTTCGTAATTTTGATTCTATTCATAGCATCTTTGATTGTCTAAGAAGCAATGAAAAAAAAAATTAGTTGACATTTAAAAACTAATTAATTTGGATGATAAAAATTTACAGTGAAATCTTTAGATATGGTCACCTGAAACACCGGTTTTTCTTTCTATTTCCAAGTCAGAGACCCAAATGGACCACTGAATTTAAGAACAATGACACATTTTCTCATCAAAATTTCACATGGAGTACGATTTGTACAACAAAAATTATTGGAAGTAACTCCCAAATAAGATATTTGCGATTTTTTTTATCCATAATTCAAACATTGCACTTGTAAAAAAAACCAAGATCTACTTGAATTAAATCACACTGAACGCTGCGCTAACAGTCTCTGCGGTGTGAAAATATTGCAATCTCAATCTTGACAATTCCGCTCAGCTTTCAAACGTTTTTTAGACATTGAACAACACACGTTGGGGAAGAAACACTGCTGGATTCAGAGACCTGGCAAAGCCATTGTTGTGCGCATTTTGATTCATTTAGACTCTGGTTTTTCTTATGAATGGGTCATCCACATTTTCATGGCCAAAGCTAAATAAAAACATTAATATCTTACTGGGTAGTCAATTTCAGTGATTTTCATCTCGCGAGTCAAGTTCCACTTTAAATTTTGAAGAGGCCAGAATTTGTCAGAATGCTAAAATTTGTAGGTACCTTTTCTTGTGATCCATTCCAGTTACGATTCCAACACCAGCTAATTTATACATAACGGCAAAATTTATGATCGGATAAATATTGTAATTACGTACACATACTCTCAGAGCATCAGCTACATTTACTTCTAATTTCTTTCTTATCCTTGAAAAAATCTCAATTCTTAAATATTGGTATATTTTTCTAAGCAAATTAAGGTAAAAATAAGCAGTTTCTGTGATATTGTGATTTGGACCAGACCATACTGCTTTGCTAGGGAAAAACGTTGTATGTAAATTTGATAGTTACCAAATTTCCTCCAATAAAATGTTTATTTTTTATGAATACGGTATGAATATTTTCTCTCAAGAGATTCAGATAATTTAAAGCTGACCGTGAATGAAATCATCTGAAAAATTAAAGGAAAAATATTCACAATTTCCTGGAGAATTTGTATTTGATCAAAGGAAAATTGGTAATATCTGCAAGCTCATTCGATGTTCTTCCTAAGGCACAGCAGCATACTTGTGTGGATGAGGGCCCTTGTTTCCCAAAGATAAGGAACAGGCAAGACTTACCTCTTTTGTCAGTTTTTTGTTTTCAAGAATGCTTTCAATTCGGTCGCCGGTGAAATTTCCAAGAGATGTGTCAATGAAATGGACAATGATATTCCTCCGTAAAGAATTATTTACGCCAATGGTCAAGCATAGTTGAGTTTTTCCACTGCCTGTGAGACCACAAATTTCAATTATATTTCCGGTTCTCAATGCTTCACCTAATAAATTATCAAGACTGAAAGAAAAAAAAACAGTGGGTGCTGAAGGTTAAGGAGGTAAAAAAGGCTCAGAAAATTAGCTTAAGTAAAGTAACTTTGGTGTGAGGAAAGGCTGATTAACAAAGATGGTTGCATTTTGTACCCTCTTGACGTCGCACGGCATCAGGTACCTTTTAGGTACATCCTGAATGCATGGCAAAGCATGTACCCTCTATGCGCCACAGCCTCTAAAATGGCGGCTTAACTCGAAATGTGACCACCTTTCTATATCTGCCTTGGGTGTGAAGGTTCAAGATTGTTATTTACATGGAAAATGTTTTACACTGCACGGTCAAAAATGTTTTAAATGAGTCTCTGAGCACTCTCAATATGAACAGAGAATAAAACAAAATAGTGAACTCGCGTGGAACCATGTTTTTGTAAGTTATTACAGGGTTACAGATTTCTCATCATAATTCATCTTTTGAAAGAAATACCAATTAACATACTTCTTTACAAAATTTGTGAGATTTTTCCACTCTGTTGGGAAAATAATTGATCTCAATTCAAGCGATAGTGATTTAAAGCTCTATTTCAAAAGAATAAATTACAAGTAGAAATTTTGAAACTCGGCAAACAAGATGACAAAGGTTTAAGGCGCAACCATGAATTTCGCTTTGCGCCATTGCAGACTTTCTGTCAGACTTTATTTTTTTTAAAATAGAAAACTACTCAACAGCAATTCTTGAAAACTGCCTTAATTTTCCTTCTCTGTGCAAAGAAAATTCTGCAAAAACTTCAAGAAGTTGTGTCGATTTGTTCTCAGATAAAAAAATTAAATCGTGGAGATTTTCAAACACTGTAAATAAGATATCAGCGGTGTAAGTCAGCAATCACATAACTCATTTGCGGCGTCTAAAAATCTCTGCCTCTATGTTATGTTTTTAAAGGAGAACAAATTGACACCATCCCTTGAAGTTTTTGCAGAATTTTCCTCGCACAGAGAAGAAAAATCAAGGCAATTTTAAAAAATTGCTGTTAAGTAGTTTTCCGTTTCAAAAATAAAGTATGACAGGAAGTCTGCGACGTCACAAACCGAGTTATGTGATTTCCGACTTACACCGTAGATATGCGGTTGTGAACTTACGTTGTCGATGTGTATCTTTTCAGTTTAATAGTTCATATTCAATGAGTAGATAGGTAGTAACTACAAAATGGGTGAAGTTGTTAGCCGATCTCTTGGCTAGGTTTTTAAGAGAGCAACAGGAGAACTGAGTTCCTTATTTTAGTATTCAAATTGAATGAAAAAATCAAGATGGGGTTTTACATCTCACATTGCTTCGCAAAACTTTGAGGATAATCTATTATTGTTCAATATTTTTTTGTTCAACTGTCATTTGATTTCTTATTTATTCTTGATTGGAGGCATCAAATACAATGTGCAGAGTTGAAACTGATCAAATCACAATGAAAAATCCTTACCATTCTATTCCAGATTCAAGCTCCACTGAATTATCTTTAAGATCCAAGAATTCATCAACACCTTTTTTCACAAATGCTGAGAACTGAGTAATCAATGACTCTCGCAAGGTAATCACATCCTAGAGACAGGAGAAATATCCAAATTATACCTACAGAGTTAGCTTTAAATGTGAGGAAAATAAGATAGACACATACAGAGCAATGAACCTTAACCTGCGAATATATTTGATAGAAAGGCTACGTAACTCGAAAAATACTGTCCTTGATTACAGCTCCTTATTGAACATTTTTGGAACATATACCAGATTTGAAAAATCAGCGACACTAGACAAAAACAACAACGGCTGACAAATAGCAAAAGAAAACTAAAATTCAAAACTTTAACTGTGGAGAAAAAATATGCATGGATGGATGAAAGATTTTGCGAATGTTGCTGGTTAAGAGCTGTAAACATGTTGAGACAACAATTTTGTTAACTGTTTTCCATTCCATTTATGCACTGTCATGAAATTCTCAAGGATTAATGCTAAGTTCCATTGACAAAAAGGGATAAATCACTCCTAAGATGACAGATCTTGCTGCAAAGTTGACGATGCCAATTTCACCTTCCTACCTTGATTTGAAGACTACTAATTGATGCAATCCTGTCAGGTTTTTCCTCCAAAAATTTTTGAACGGTAAAAATTTTCTTTGAAAACAGATTTTGAAGGACCGATTCACTCAAAAGAGGAGACTTGACACTGTCTAGTCTGTTCATAATACACGTAAAACCATTATTTGAAAGTATGAGCAGCTGAAGAACTCGGTCTCAAATTAGTCACGAGCACAGGGTGCGAGGTTTCGTTTCTAAAACCAAAACTCATAATGCTAGCATTTTTGAATGGTTGTCTCTTATTCACTTTCACAACTTTGTTTAGGACCATACTAAAAAAAATTCAATTTTTACGTTCCTTCTTCTGACGTAGACAAGCATGCGGAAAAAGTTAGGTTATGTGTGTTTGTTTACAAATACGGACTAAAGTAGGCAACCTAACCGACCTAATTACCAAAAGTTTAATTTCTTATGATATTGAATGTCGAAACCAAATACATTTTACAATTAGATGGAATAAATAAGCCACTAAAAGGACTGAAAGGAGCATATTCTGAATGCTGTGTCACCACAAAAAATGTGAGAAAATTAATATCGGTTGTTCAAGATGGTATTTTCTTCGGCTGGCTACCGTGGTAAATAGAAAAACGACCAATCAATGATCACCTAGCAGCCTCTCAGCCTGGAGGCGGGAAATTACGAATACTAAAAATTTAGACTAAATTTTCAGCACTCCATTGTGTCCATGCTCTGGTTTAGGAGGGAATTTCTAGATGTCCCAGCGTTAGATGTATCCTAAATGAGTATCAAATAAATTTCGGGGAAAGTAATTCTACTCACCTCATTATTAATCTAGAAAAAAACAGAGAAATATATCTAGATCATTTCACTGTTTATGTTTATTACTTAAAATATGTATTTCCTAACAATACAGAGGGAAAAGATTGAGATAGTTTTCTACTTTTCTGCTCTTTACTCTCCTATTTAATATTAATCCTATGTTCAATAACTGATAATAACTACTCTTATCACCATCAAATGAACTTATTTCACATTTAAATTCACACCCCAGTGAGGTTCCCTCCACTTCTCTCTCTGGAGGAAAGAGTACGCACCCTTTGCCATAAAATTGAGTTGTGAGCCTTTTCTTGCTATTGAAATGTTTCATTTTTTTCCGGTAGGATCAAAGAAAGAAGAGGCCTTGATCCTTTTGTGCTGTACTGTCAAACCTCACCAAGTCAAAAGCCCTTTTACTAGGTAATAAAAATGGCTTGATCCCTTTTTTCCGTTTTGCCAATGCAGAGTTCATTAAACCCGGAATGAACTCTTGGTCCTGGAGCATTCCGATTGGTAAGGTTAGACCTTCTCAACTCATTGAAATTAGTAGCATTGGGATAAAATTGCTTTCATTTACTATTCAAGACAACACGAACATCACATAGCATCAAATGGACTCTTCCGCGCTCTAGTCATCTCGTATCTTTCTTTTCCAATGTTGGATGGGGAAAAGTTTTGATGTTCCTGCGAAAAAAATGATGCGCAGAGTCAAAAAAAGTCAAGCCCATAATGCCTAATACTCTACTAGTTTGTACGTTGTCTTCCTGACTCCTCCTGAAAGAGGACAAAACTAATATGGCATTGTAAGGTGAATTTAGAGCCGAGTGGACTATTAAAGTTGTTCAAAACCAGTTTTCAATGATTCTAGATTTGACCTCTTCATCAAATGGATCCTGAATCCATTAAAGATGGATACAGGCTGAGGTTGAAAAATCCAGGATATTGTGACAATGCACTTTGATTTAGGGTCAAAACTGAAAATTGGTCCGGGTTTCAAAGTTCTTAAAATTTAACCGATGGCTTCCTCCTTTCAGCCTTGCATTTAGTGATGACTGGAGTTCATCAATAACACTCCCATACAATAGATGCAAGAAGTTCAGAAAATGTTGATATCCCTATTCCATTTTTTTAAGGCCTATAAGTGGAATTTTTCCTTTTCTTAGAGGATAATATATTTAAAAGAGAAACTTTTGTACTCCGTCGCATTTATTATCTGTAGATTTTGGAACAGGGCCGTTGCCTTAGATTAGAGGTTGATTGTTTTTGAGAGAAGTTTTCATGCTGTCGACTTAGAAGATGTTGATAATTTGGAAAATTACTTTCGCATCATTACTACAATTTGGTGAACTTCCTCACTTTGGCAGAAAGATCACTTTATACTGTATTCTTGCTTAAAATTTCTTAATCTCTTCAAGATTCATAAAAGATTCATGTTGAAAAATTTCATGGTAGTAATAAATATATGAGCGAGCGAGTGATCAATCTGATAAATGAATTAGTGAATTTAAAATTGGCTATTAATTGTTCATAACAGATCTGACAAACAAAATTGTAGACAAAAACTGACAGTTCCGAGCTAAATGTTGACTGTAGAAATTGGCGATACTTCCAGCATGTGCTGATATGCATTTAAGAGGTTCCAAGATGAGTAAGATAAATACATCATGTAGAAAATATGTACGTATATACTCCCAATATACTTTTGTTTAATTGTTATATTTACACAAAACACATAAAAACAAAATTTTTAACAAGTCTTACGTTAGAAATAAAAAGTTAAAACAATACAGTTGGAGGTTTCCGTTTATTTTTATTTTAACTCACTATGTCTGATAATCATTTTTCGCAATCTTTTTCGCATTATCTTCCAAAATGATTAAGTATTAGTTCAGCGTTCTTATGTACGAATAAAAAATTATACAAACTTGGTTTTGCAAAAACTTTATCTTTTGGATTCTTTTAGAGTAAAACTAAAAAAAAATTAAATAAAAAAAGTCAATCACGGTACAAAAGAAGGCATGTAATACACCCGAAAGTCAGAAAAATATGAGTGCAAAACTCAATCATTCGAATGAGTCACAATCAGTCACATTTTACAAATAGAAATTAAAGAGGCTAAAGGCTTTATCACCTGACGTGAGCAATTTTGACTGCTTTGATTCAACTGATGAAAAAATGTTGACAACAAGATTTCATTGAGAGTTTATTAAGCGCGTACAACGCGAACATGTTGTAGGAACTCATCAGGAGAAGGCAAACAAAACAAGGTAAAAATAAATAATGAAAAAAATGAAAAACTTGTGAGAACAGCTAAGAAATTATACACGGGGTGAAAAATTACTATGAAAATAAAGTATGATGGAATAGATAACTTCTGATCTGTTCACAGTTGCACAGGTATCGCATTTTTCTCTCTTTAGGTAGTGTACTCATCAAACAGTTGAATTTCAAGCAAAGCCCTGAAAAAAACAACAAAAAACGAGGTTATTAATTAATTATATAAAAACATTATTGTCATGATTTTTTCTAAAATCGCTACAGCAATCTATTTTTTTTTTCTTTCCAATTATGAACATGTTTATGACCACAGACTTTATCTTCACATCTGCCTGAGCCTGGGAACTAACATAAACTGGAGTTGACAAGATTAATATTAAGATAGACCACTCCGTAGAGTACAAGTAATATCATTGCAGGACATGTGGACTAGCTGTTTCTAGGTATAAGTTTTGTTCTCAGTTGAGCCTTGAAACGTTAGTTTTTTTATAGAGCTTGGAGTGTATCCTAGGATAGGCATTTTCCCTCAAGTTTTGGAGCCTTAAAAAATTTCACCCTGGAACATTCACTACCATGCTGATCATAATGACCCTTACACTTTGTCAATTGAGGAGATGGGTGCAGAAAGGGTACATCTCAGAAAACCTTGTTTTGAGATAGAAGCAATTGAAAGTGTAAATGTTCTCCTTAAACATGATGGGCCGGTTGTTGTTTACTTATTGTTTTCCCTATCAAAATACAAGTCCTATGAAAAACAAACGGTTGCAATTCTTATTTGGAGGTAATTTTGTGGTCGAAATAAATAACACAGCCCTGCATTTTATTGGTCATGTCAAGTTGCATGGCATGTCCTAATTGATTCTTATGTATTTTTTAGCGCTGAATTTGGGAAAGATATCCAAAAAATTCTATCACAATAGCATTTTCCGCAAATCCAAAATTTTGGTTTTTTGGGGGAAAAATTTCCAAAAAATTGAATTATTATATTTTTTTTAATATGACCACTGATTTTGGTCTGTAGTATCTCTACTAAGTATGAAATGACCATTGCACGTAAAAGGAAGCCTCAAAGAGTAATACTTGTCTGAAATTCATCAAATTTTATGCATTTTTAGGTGATTTTTATCCCCCCAAAAATCGTTTTCCGGTCAATGTTTTTAAAAATACGACTCAACAAAAATATTTTCCCCCATAATTTACTTCTGTTAGCACCCACATATCACCAGAAAAAGTAAACACAAGTTTCTAAAATATTGAGAAGAGGGGAGCGGCGCCAAGATGTCATGAGAGCTCCACCCTGCTTGCGGCTTCTTCCCGGCGCGTCGCAGGTTTCCTAAAAAATTCTGTAATCTCACGTCGCTGATTTTGCACCATCAGCTCACCACAGATGTAACAAAACACATCTGGTGACTTTATGCACCCTCTGGGGGCCATTTGGCCAAAATTACGAATTTTCAGCACAAAAAAGAACCGAATCTCGGGCGAACAACGTACCGCTTTGTCTGCCATATTAGCACTGATAAGTCAGGATGAAATCCCACTAAACTCATGATAGAAAGCTAGACAAGTTGAAACCTGTGACAATGCTTCGAGGTATCAAAAAGGTGCGTGAAACTCAGATAAGTCGAAACCTGCAACACAGTGCGGCGGAAAGAAGCCGCGAGCCACAAGGAGCTCTCATGACATCTTGGCGCCCCCCCCTCCTCTTCCCAATATTTTAGAAACTTGTGTTTACTATTACTGTCTTTTTTAACTCAGCGCTAAAAAATACATAGGAATCATTCAAGACATGCCATGCGACACGACATGACCAAAAAACGCAGAGCTGTGTAAATGAAGCTGCAGGATACATTGCCCTTTCGACACTAGGTGAGAGAAGTCATTCAGAATAGATGTGTTATCTTCGTTGATGTAACTTTTCTCTGAAGTAGCGTGTCCTCTGTGTTGCCTATGTATAATTCTAGTATACATATGTGCTTTTGTTGACTCATTTTACATCTGAATGAAGAAAAAAAGAAAAAAAACCTAACTAGACTACTGACTAATATTTCATGGCCGAACGCAATATCAGGCTCGTCTTGATGTTAATTTTAAACTGATAAATATCTTCTACTTTCATGAGAAAAACAAGTCAGTTTTCTCTACTGCTAATAAAAGAATTGATTTTTTAGGATTAGCTGAATAATACACACCTGAAAAGTAAATTATTCGCCAACTGCCAGCACTGTACCGGTTAATGGAGTGGGTGAGGATGAGACGATATTCATGCGCCCTGAGTCTTTGATTGGGACTGCAAAGAAAAAAGTAAAGACAAGCTGGTAATTCAAAAGCTAAATAAAGAAGTGCAGTGTATATCATGTATGTAGGTAACAAACACGGTATGGCAATGACTTTAACTTGTTCACTTTACATAAGTTCATTAAGATGATCGTCAAAATTGTACTTTGAGTAATGGAGGATCAGATGAAAGTTCGTAATCAAACGATTCAAAGTTTGGGGAAAAAGTTCCTCATAGTTTCTACCAGATGTAGAGGGAAAAACTTTGATAATTCTTCTATTCGGACAACTAGTGAGAAAAACCCGAAAATTGATGAAATTGCTGTCTTGTTGTGTCTTTGTTTTGTTATAATGTTAAGCAAATGGGTGTTTACGAACCAATTTGACTCGGTTATAATGCTTTGATATTGTTAACTGAACTCAGTCAAAATCACAAAAATTGTAAAAAAAGCAAAAATGAGGAAAATTTAAGATCAATTTACGTCCAACAGTACATAAATGACAAACTAAAACAATGAATTCCTATAAAAAATAAATTTTAGGTTGATCACACTCCTTACAGAGGGTACATCAGAGTTTTTGAGCATTGGAACGCTGCTGAAGTCAATCCTTGGACAGTGAATTCCTAGCATTCTGTTCACCGAGTGTGAATCAGCTGCGAACTATGCAGCATTTTTTAATATGGCGGCTTATCGAAGAGTTGCAGACTGCGAGTGTTTTCCAGATTTAATAATTTATTATTAAATTAATTATAGTAAGTGAAGTCATACCAAATTCAAAAATGTGCCGAACTCCTAGTTTTTGTTTAATAAATTTTGTACCTCAACAACACCCTGGGGGAAGCTAGGGGCTGGAAACCAGCGCGTACGGCATGGTCAGCCACTGCGCATTAGTCTCAGGAGATTAGATAAAGCAGCCTCGGAAAATGACCTTATCAGCACTTCAATGCATGACAACTTAAATGTACTCTATACATGAACACCAATGAGAGTCTGCTCTTCTGTAAATTCATCGAAATATCCTAAACAACAATGCCGAGATGATCAACTACTGACTCTGAACCATTGGTGCAGAACTGGCCCAGCACAACCCAAATGGCCTAGAGCTGTCACTCAAAGTCAATTGTTACTATTTTTTAGGCTCTTTAAAGTCCTTATGGCATAAAAGCTTTGCAACAACTTAAAAGTTATCACTATCAGAACCCAACAATGACTTTTCTCTTTTAATACAAAAATTAAAAATAAAAGTAACTTACAAAAGTATGGATGGTCCATGGCCTCTCGAGCTGTAAGTCTTTCATAGTGGTCATATCGAAGAAGTTTATCCAGGAAGTCAAGAGCTTCAGGAGACACCAAATGCTGATTATCTTTGTGGACAAAACGTTCCCACCGCTTCTTAGAATGTCTGGAAATGAAAAGATTCATGAAATGTTAAAAGACAATTTAAAAAAAAAAAAATTCTCAATAGAATACTAGACAAGGTACAAATTCAAGCTACAAAAATTACTAATATTAACTCATAACCAAGACACAATTTGTATTTAGACTGGTAATTCAAATTCGAACTTCCCGCTCACCAGAAATACCCGAGTTCAGGTAACCAAACTGCGTACTACTGCAGTTGTGACAGGCTTCTTAAGGTAAAACTTCAGAGGTGTATAGTGTCCGCTGTCTTTTGATTTCATGCTTTATGCTAAGTCTGCAAGGCTCGATGTGAGTCCTTGAGCTACTACAGAAATTGGAGGAAGTTCTGTTAAAATTGAAGAGTCATAAGTTGTAGCTAGCACGCTCTTCAACCTACTGACACTAAAACAGATAAAAAGGATAATCCCTGAATTCGCTCTTCGAAAAACAAGAAGATTTTGAGAAGGAATTACTTTCAATAATTCTTGTTTCACAAATTGTGTTCTGCGTAAAATTTTGATGAGATTATAATGCTTAAATTTGCACCTAGTATGGTGGTCCATTCAAGAGAAATAAGCCCAAAAGATGGCGAAATTCTACTCATACATACATAAGACTGATATTTTGGTTCAAGAAACCATTGCAACTCACTACAGCGATGACCACATCAATTTGTTACCAGGCATGGAGCCGTGGAAGAGGGATCCAGCTCAATAAAGAAACTTTAAGGAAGGAGAGAGTGTAAAAAAAAAATATGGAACTTACCTTCCTAATATGTCTGAAAATCTAGGGTCCAATTCGATATTATATTTTTCTAGATATTCAAACAATTCTTCGGTTCCTAGAACTTTTGCAATTCTAACAAGTTGGTCATAGTTATCGTGGCCATGAAAGAAGGGCTCTTTCCTGAAAATCATACTGGCAAACATACAGCCTAAAGACCACATGTCAAGGGAATAATCGTACATCTGCAAAAGAGAGGCAAAACAAATGTTAGAGAGAAATATGTAGAGGTGCTTGCCTGAAAATGTGAAACTGAACTGGAGTTACTGTTGTTTGAAGTTTGTAATAGCAGAATATCGTTAAAGAGAGATTGCATTAAAATGATCTGCCTTGATCATAACTGAAAACTGGCAGCGATGCGTGAATAACAGACTATTGATATTTTCCCATTTGAAATTAAGTCAAAGATTTTATTACCTATTAAGGTATTCATTGCGAACACCCTGATAATCGATCCTTTCCCATAGGTTTAAAGGACAGAGCAATCGATTAATCTCAGAGCAAGACTTGCCACTGCTGATAACAATTGGAATAAAACTTTACGTTGCGTATTTAATGAATCCAAAATTAGCTAAGCTGTACATCACTTCTTCTTTGAGGATATTGTGCGATTTCTTACTCGAAAATTCGAACATTGATTTTTCAATTTAGCTTGACAAACATCACTCTCTGAAAAATTGAATAGGTACCTCATTGAAGTATGACGTTATGGAATTCTTTGTATTATGCGGCATACCTGATAATCCGTTAGGAGTTCAGGACCTTTGAAATATCTTGATGCTACACGCACGTTATACTCTTGTCCTGGATGATAAAACTCCGCCAAACCCCAGTCGATTAGCCGAAGTTTCTTATTTTCATGATCTATCATTACATTGTGGGGCTTAACATCTCTATGCATAATACCCATACTATGGCAATAATCCAAAGCCTGAAAAAGATATTAAAAAGTGTTGTTAGCTAATTTGAAGAGTTAGAGGAGGATAAATAATTGTTATCTTCAAGAGAACTTAGAACACACTCTAATTTTTAACATTTTCCCTGTTGAGAGACGGAAGAAATGCTCTTTTAGATGCTCTGCTCATTTATTTTTGATGACGCCCAGCAGAGATTTTAGCTCACGGTTCATCATTTTTCCCAAAACCCCTTCCAAGTTAACAGCTTTGGACACTTTAAACTGGCGTCTAGCAGCATTTTCCAATGATTTGATTGCATCAAGACTCAGATTCAACATTACACCGGTTCAAAATGAGTCTGGTAAATACTACTACAATTTTGATTACCTTTCCCTAAAAGTATACTTGCGTCCATCACTGGTTGACTTGTGTCCTCTTTTTTCCATGCATCCGTGATGACTTTAAAGGAAATGTGCCGCCCCCCCTCCCCTCAAAAAAAAAAAGGCTTTAGGAAATAAAGTTCAGCTCTTCCAGGAACCATTTAACATCATGTGCTTTTCATCTCAAAAACGATTTCTTTCCTTGACACAAAAATTTTACTCTCTTCTTTCGATGAGGTTTTGAATAATTTGAAAAACATGTAAACACATTATTATCATACCTTTAATAGTTCATACAGATAGTAACGGATATCATAATCGTTCAGGGTTTGGTAAAGCTGCTTAAATTCAGTATTATTCACATGCTCGAATATTAGTGCAGGCGTTTTGGAGATAGCATCCTTTACTACAGCTTGTAATGTGATGATATTCGTTCCTCCTCTTAGGTTTTCTAAAATTTTGATCTCTCGTTTAATTTTTTTCTTTTTTACAGGCTGAAAAAAGGAGAGCAGAGAAAGAATTAGAAACACCTGGACTGCCGAAAAATAGGAGGAGTCACTTACTTCACCCAAGTACAGTAAAAATTACAGATATATTTAATAATGTTAATCATTACTGCAGAGTACTTTAAGGCAGGACTAAAAGTACATTGGTGGTATAGATATTATCCCAAGATTGCAGAAACTAACCTTCGTGCCAGCAGGTCAGACGTAAAAATGGGAAGGTCACTTCAGTTAAGTATTAAAAAGTCGCAATATTTGCAAAATCCCAGATAAGTAGGGAAAAAGTAAATCATCACTTCAAACTTTGATAAAAGAGGGTGAAAAGGGGCAGTGTTAAAGAAACTTCCGAACGACACAACTGGCCGTCATGTGGCGCCGGCGCCCCCCTCCTCCCACTTCTAATATGAAATGAGGGGAGGGGGGTCCCTGCAAGAACAGAAAAAAGTAAGGGAACTGCCATGAAAACAGGACAAAACTGGGACCCCGATGCTAAATACAACGTTTAGAAAAGCCCGGACCCATCCCTGCACTTCTGATTTCAGACTTATTGGAATCAGGGTTAAAATACTTAACCTCATTAAAGGACACAGTTCCCGATAGGAAAACTCCCAATTCAACACAGCTTGAGGACACTAATCAAATGAACCATTTCTAAACTCCATTGATTTATTGTTGAACTGTGTCAAAAAAAGGTGGGTTCTATCCTCAAATATGTGTCATTCTCTGATAGTTCTCATACATTTTTAGGCAAGAAATAAGAGTGAATGGATGAAATATATATAGAAATCAAAGAGGACTTACTTTTAGTATTTTAACTACACACTTTTCACTATTTGTTATGTTGATACCTTCGAACACTTCACTGTACTTTCCACGGCCCAATTTTTTGATAAGTTGGTAATCATCTTGCTGACTGTAAAAGAAAGAAAATATAGGCAAATAGAAAAATAAATATAACAAAGAACACACTCTTAGGAATAGAGACAAAATTATTTGAAAGAAATCTTCGAAGGTACGTGAAAACGTTTCAACAAGCTATCATCACATGCGACTGAAACTGCTCCTCACATCAGGCTTTTGATGGGGTCTCATTGAAGGCAACAGACTTTGCAAATTAAAGCAAGGATTAGATGAGGAGCGAGACTATTTTTAAATCAATATGACATTTACACCCTCATAAATAAGTCATGATTCTTGCCGATAGGTACCACTCTTGTACCTCCATTTGAGTACATAGAAAAACGATCAATACCTGCAGAAGCAGGCTACCTCACCAAGGAATGATTTTACAGACAGGTTTCAAAGCATTGGCGGATCCAGCAAATCGACAACATTTTTTTTCTCCATTTAAACCTATGGAAATTTATTGATTCTTGAAGGGGCCTGGTGCTCTGACAAGAATCAATTACTTAACCTAGGTTTAAATGAGGAGAATCCAATGTTGCCAAAATTGCTGGATCCGCCTCTGATTTAAAAGGAGGCGAATCAAAAAGCTTTGAAAAAAACAAAAAACCGACATAGGTTGAGTAATACATACCCCCAGTTGACAACATACGATTCGTAATCCCAATATTCACGGAGCTTGTGAGAATTGACGTCTGCATAAATACGTGCTCGACTAGGAAGAGTAGCCATTGCACGCTCAGAGTTGAAGAGCAGCTCCAGGACTGGTTTAACACTGTGAACAAACAAGCAAAGAAAATTTAAATTTGGACTATATCTCTCACCTTGCGAGGTCAATATTTTGGGCAGGGATGGGCAGAATTTAGACATTATGGTGTTAGCATGGATTCAAATTTTCCGTACCTTCTGATTTAGACACCCAAGTAGAATTATTTCAAAATTTTTCTGCGAACCTCCACTTTCAAAACAATAACTCCCTTCCTTTTTACCGTCAATGACACAGGGTTTTACTTTATTTCAACTTTCAAATTCCCTAGGTTTTCTTTGTGTGATGGTATCATAAAGTAATTCTCTAAGACAACTCATCCGATACAGAGGTGAAAAACAAAACAATCACTAACCCGGGGCTCTGATAGCTGACTACTTAGAGAGGCTACTCCTGCCTTCTAAATTTCTCATTCAACTTCACTACCCCAAAATCCTATTTTAAAAAATATTGGATTGTATCAGTGTGTAAATAAATACACTTTCAAAAACCATGCTTCACAGACATTTCATGATAATTTTTGACTGCTCTATGCAATCCGATAAATAGTAGTTTTTCTACGTCTGAACAACTGTCAAAAAACTGTGATTGAGTCAGGCAAAGTGGGACTTTCTATTGACGAAACCTGCGGATTTTGAAAAATCAAAAATTCAAGAAGTTGAATTCCTAGGGTTTTCCCTCAAAATTCTATTCCCTGGGTTTTCCCTGTTTTTCCTGGTGGTAGAGGCCCTGATGACAAAAGCCGGGGAACTTTGGGATGATGAAATTTGAGTCCCTTGGGGGCAATACTCTGCTCACTCCTGCAGTCCTGACTTCACCTGGCCAGGGATTACCAAAAAAAGGCCTAGTGCAGGTGGTATGGATTACCCTGTGCCGGTGTTGGATGACAGAATGAAATATTAAGAGATGAGTAAAAAGTTCAGATGCAGATTCTCTCACAGACATCATTTCAGTGAAACACACAAACCTTCAGCCAATTAAGAGAGCGACCTCGACCAAGACAATTGAGAAAAGAGGAAAAAACAGAAGTGACATCCCATCAAAATCTTCTAATCTAGGAGCTTGGCTCATTGTATTTTCTTCACAGATCAGGAAGTAAGTAATTAATTTGATCTTTGGTTCAATAACACTAAAAAGAAATGCCTTAAGAATCAAATTATTCCCCCTCTTTTTTCGGATTATTCTTAGCTTTCTCAATGCATACGTACTTCAGTACTTAATGTGATTAAATTTTGAAAAAAAAATAGTGTACTTCCTTTGAAAATACACTAGATGTCATTTGCATCAAGTATATCAGGAAAGTTTGATAAGTATACTGAACTCCTGAAATAATCTGGCTGAACTTCATATGCCATAGAGTGCATAAATTATAGATGGACTACATTTTGTAATTAGGAATTATAAATTCTAGCCCGGTTTAAAAGCAACATATGTGCCATTAGTTTCCCATGCGCACATGTGTTTTTCTAGAAGAGCCAGAATTTATAGTTCCAAATTGCAAAATGCGGTCCAAATCTTGGTCAAGAACAGAGGCGGATCCAGCGATTTGGTAACATTGGCTTTCCACCATTTAAACCTGTGTTGAATAATCGAATCTTGTTGGAGCACCTGACCCCTCCGACAATGTATATATTTCCATTGGTTTAAATGAAGAAAAAATAATGTTGTCAAATTGCTGGGACCGCCAGTGGTCAAGAGCTCTGATCACAACTAATTTTGAGCAGAACTACAGATACTAGAACTTTCTTATACAGACTCAACCAAGTAACCAAAAAATTACCAGCGGTAAGCAAAGGATACCAATGGATTTTTTTGTTCAAAATCATGAATCATTTATGGACAATTGATGAGGTTGATCTTCGAACTTAATTTTCGCCTGACCCTATTACATTGCTTGAATTGGGAGTATAAAGTTTCTAGACCTCGCCAATTGACTATGAACTGAGGAGAGAAAAGCACAGACAAATATCAAGGCAGAAAATGGAACCCTTTAACAGAAATTTGTATGTTAACCAATGGGCCAACTGATGATTAATGCTTTTAAGTTGATGGATCATTTGTGCATTCGTTTCTTTCCCCAAATCTAATTTTGTTTCTCATTTTCTTCATTCCTCATTAATCTTGACAAAGCAAGTTCATAAAAAAAGCATAAGTCATTACTTACTTGGTAACATTAAATAAAATTTGAACTCTAACAGGTCTCGTTGGTGGGCTTGAAGGGGGAACTTTTGAGCATACGACAAAAGAAATAAGAAAAGGCAAAAAAAAACCTGCCTCTAAACAAAAGTGTTCAATTTAATTTCTTGAACTGATTTTCGATTCTTACGTATCATACTTCACATAAAACTTTTAATTCTTTATCATGAGAATGTGCATATTGATACCACTTGTATCTCCATGGCAACCTAATCCGTCAAGGATCAGATAGGAATTCATTTAAACTGTAAATAAAATTTCACACACCGATTCACACACTGTAGTAACTTTATAAGTATTTTCTTTCAAGGTGACAGTAATCATCTTTACCATCAGAATTTGAAATTAATTTGGATTCCGAGTAAATTTCATCTCAGAAGTGAAAGATTACTGAGAAATAGTCTAGCGATGGTCAAATGTGATCACTTTCATGCAAGAGGCAGGATTGTGCATTACATTGGCTATATGGGTAGGTCATGTCTGATCTTGTCTAATAACAAGCAAGGTACAGATTACAACCTGGTTATCAGGGAGTAAACCTGATTTCAAGATCCAAGATGGTTGTGCTAAGCAAATTGAAATCAGACCCTTGTTAGTAAATATTACATGCAAAATTGGTGTTGAATTTTTTTATCAACCTTAGGAATATTTACCTATATGAATATTACGTTCAGGAACTCAATGGATGATGGGCTCAGATGAACTATCTTTGATAACCAAATTACTTGGTCACCGAAATTGGTCCGGCCAAACAGGTTTATAGTTTTCGATATCGAATCAAAGATCGAAACTGATTATCAGATGGTATTGCAGGTGTTGCCTGATTAAAGCAACGACATGTTTAAAATACCACATAAGATACCTGCTTGACTGTGGTGCCTAATTTCTTCCAAGATCAATGATAGTTCACTTGAGCCCATTATCGGCGATACTGCCGGATCACCTTCAATTAGACTTTAGGGTTCAACTCAGATTCCGAATCAACAATCAATGAAAATTCAAGAACAAATAAATTCGTGCTTCTGAATCTACTGCTTACATGAGTGTGTTACTAAAAATTAGCGTGAGCATCATGCCGCTGCATGTCATAGTTCTACGAACCTTGAGGGATAGGCATTAGTGTTAAATAAACTGCAAGTTCAAAAGTTGGGATGTTAAGTATGTGGTTTGTAACAGCGAGGGGCTTTAGCATTGATAGAAAAATAAATTTAGGAAGAATAAGGACTCAGTCCCTCCCTAAGGTCCTTGGAGCTGTATTAGTGTGCACATGCACATGGTACCACCTATTAGCATAAACAATGGTCAAAACTGAACATCCAAGATAGCGAGGGTCAGATTAGAGTATTGAATGATTTAATTGAGCTTAATTAATGAAACTTACCAAAAATAATGATATTACTTTTCCATTCATTCAGACCTTGGGTCCTAGAGGGCCCCTAGGCTTAAATTGAACACCATTCTAACCAAGCAATGCCAATTGCAAATCCACACCTTGCCACACAATTTAGAAGTCGATCAAACTTAAATAAGTGAAGTGTGTCGAAAAAGCTAGTAGAGAGGAAAGAGCTAAGATAAGGTAGAACAATGCGGAACTGAAGTAAGGTGTAAAAAAGCTGACCAATCGTCAAAAGTTCAGTGAAAACAAGCCACTATTCAGAAGCAGAGACAGAACTATTGATGAGATGACCGAACGTACCTAACACATTTCTTCGAGTTGTGGAAAAATATTTTGGACGATAACTTGCGAAAATGAGATCCGACTGTGACTCAAAACTGAAAGAGCTTACAACATATTGATAAAAAACGGGGAATGCGGGTAAAAATTAGCACGAAATTGAACACAAGCCGGCTTCAATCCGAGTCGAGAAGGCCCGAACTCCAGTTCGAAACCTTGAAAGGATTCGGCTTCGGCAAAACGCTCAACACTCAGACATGGACGAAAGTAGTGGAAAGGAACCACGGAATCGAATCAAATATGGCCGACATTCCTGATCACAGGAACATTTGAATTCTTGCCCGCGAATTTTACGTGCGTATCGTACCACTATGACCGTAGTAAAGAAAAGTATTAAGAGAAAGAAAAAATCGAAAGGCATAACATTTAGAAACAGGTGTTACGGAAACGAATTCTTAACAAAAGAACTTACGCGCATAGACAAACTTAGAGAGATAGAAAAACGCCTGACGGGTCACTCGTGTGTGCGAGAGAGACGGAAAATAGCCAGGCAGCTCGCTTTGATATGCGCCCCTCGGCGCGGCGTTCGGCATGTAACACATATTAGCGCCTACAAGACTGCATGAATACTTCACGCATTGCGCCAATGACAGTGCGGTCGCTGCGGGCAGCGTGAAACGCATAGCGCCTACAAGACTGCATGAATACTTCACGCATTGCGTCAAACACAGTGCGTTCAGCAGCGGTCGGCCCGAAAAGCATAGCGCATGTAAGACTGTAGGAATACTTCACGCATTGCGCCAAACACAGTGCAGCGCGGCGGCGGAAGTTAAAATTATTAAACCACATTTATGTTTGTTCTTTCGTAATTTTTTGGTTCATTTCTTGTAAATGGAGGGCCTTGTCCATACAGAGATATGTTTACGGAACTTAACTTTCGCGCTAAGTTCCGTGAACTTTTGCTAGTAGTGTTGACAGGGCTTCCACAAGAAATGTGACCAACACGAGTAAACGCGTCTTATACGCCTCTTCCCCTCCGGCACGTTAACTTGATGGTTTTTATTGATGTTTCAAAACGAATGAGAAGGGGGCGGCAAAATACAGGCGGCCCATGGGCGGCAAGTAAGTAAATCCGGCCCTGCCGGGAGTTGGGCTTCTTGGATGTTAGATGAGCGGGGGGGGGGCACCTTGGATGCCAGGTGGGGCAGCCCCTGATGGTTGGGTTTCTTGGATGCCAAGGGGGGTAGCCCTCGGGGGGGTTGGGCTCCTTGGATGCCAAGTGTGGCAGACCCCGGGGGTCGGGTATCTTGGATGTCAGGTTGAGCATCCCCAAAGGCTGGGCTCATTGAATGTCAGGTTGAACATCCCCGGAGGCTGGGTTTATTGGATGCCTGGAGGAGGAGGGGCACTCTCGGAGGGTTTTGCTCCCTAAAAAACACGTATTACATTTCTGAAATTCGGACCCTGTTGCCCGGGTCAAAGATTTGCCTTCAAATGGCCGGCTATGCAAAATGACTGTCGTGACGCACGAATAGAGGTATCAGAATTTCGCGTTAAGAATACATGGTGGGTTGAAGGCGCTCTTCTGTATCGTATCTGAGTGGCTCTGTATATTGAACAGAAATTTTTAGAATTTTGGAGTCTTCAATCGAGCCGCAACTTTGAAAAATGCCCGAAGAACACTATTGCACGTTCCAAGATTTTTTTCCTGTAAGTCTTATTTCAAAAAAGTGAGTCCTAACGCTCTCTTCAGATTGTGGTTTTCAAGTCTTCTTGCTTTGGTCATCGTATTCTCATGCGAGACTGAGAGAGTTGCTGTTTACAAGATCAAAACTTACTCAAAAGCGGTTATGAATTCAATTAGTTTCGCACGGATAAAATGAGTTTTCGACGATGAACTGTGAATAATCAGAATTGAAAAAAGGTACTTTGTCCACTGGTCCATTTGAAAGGCGTAGAGTGTGGATGGATGGAGCATGGATGTCCTCCGGGTTTCAACGGGCACTAGATGGCTGTAGGTTTCTAACGGTATATGCCGAAGTGTTGGTCGAAAAATCGGAAAAAAGTAGGTATCACGAATATAATTTTTTGAGGGTCCATGCTGAGACGATATGTTCTAGAGAGTACGCACTGTCTTCTTATCTATGGTGTAAAATTACTGGAGGAAGCCAATTCTCTGATCCACTTATTGGTGACTCATCGTATTGGATCATCTGAAGCTTCTGAACAAGCTTCAGGTATGAATAAACTCTATTTTTTATCTAAATGACCAAGAGCAGGTTCAAAACGCCAATTGCAGAAATGCGTATCTCGTGATCAAATGTCAGTTTGCAATCATACAATACTTGATCTGGCCATATGAGATCAAACTAAAAGCTTATTTGATAAGGAAATGTAAGCGTGAAACTCTTTTTTCAGTCTTTAAATAAGACCGGCTAGAACGCTGAATGGGGGATCAATTCGGCAAAAACGCGTTTTAGGGCCTTTTCCACAGCAATGTTTGGAATATTTCTGTATTACATTCAAGTGATAGCTATTAGTTATTTAAATGATCTTCAACATCGATTTTTTATTTGTGAAGCGACTATTTGTGCCTATGAGAGATTTTTTGTAAAATAAACGAAGAATTGAAGGCACTCGGTCTGCTTCTTGCATCCGCGTAGTCCGTATAGTGGGGCCGATAAGTGGAAAATATCATAACAATCGTGCACTTCTGGAAGAAAGCATGAAAATTTCAGGGATTCATCTCTACCCTATAGACTTTCGATTTAGACATAGACCCCAAAAATCTGAGTCCCCTGGGGGGGCAGGGGGGCCCCCAAATTTAGAATTTCGTATAACTACTGAACGGCTAATGTTAGCGTAATTTTTTTACAGCAGGACGATGGGAAATTTTAATAGGAACAAAACGGTTCTCATGAATTTTTCTGTGGGATCGATATTTAAGGCGTGAAACGGGAAAAACCATCGGGGGACGGGGAGCCGGCCGTTCTGAGGCAGATCCGCGCGCTGCGCTGCCTGCCCGGGACGCGAGCGGCGGCGGAGTACGGTGTTCCCGATGAAACAGCCGCTTGTCTCGGTTTAATCTCAACGGTGCGCAGTTTTAAAAATAATTATGAATGTACTGTACTGCCTAAGTACTTTTCCATAGTGATATAAGCCCTCTTTTTTATTAGTAACACATAAAAACAAGCAAAAGGCGAAATACTCCAATGCGAAAGCGCCGAGTCAATGAGAGAGGCCGGTCATCGCGCGTCTTGTTTTCTCTGAATACAGAGCTTTTCCGATCTAAGTACAGAGTGTATTACCCTTTCCTCACGTAAGTTTTGTAAAGGATTATATTTCAAGATATTAGAGCGAAATAACAAGTTTTAATATACGATTTTGACCCACTTTTTAATGACTATTGGAAATGGCGGATCCTTGATAACTTATTTTTAGTTTATTTTCCACGTTACTTTCGGCTGCTTACATAAGCAAGAATTTTGCAAAACTTGATGCTAAGACATTACTTGAGGAGTAAAGAGGGGGGCTTCACATTCCCTTCGCCACCAAGGTTTCCAGATTTCCTTCATTTCCCTCCAATATCGTTTTTCGTTTATGTTCATCGGTTTCTCGCAATTGCACAGGTTACATACGAAACATTCCGACAATGTTCTTTTCTCCTCTTTTTTCCTCCGGCCAGCCAATAGAAGTTTTCATTTTCATGAACTCCCCACTCTTTCAGTTATTCAACAAATATGCATATTTCAAAAAATAGAACAATATATTATAATTAATAATAAAATAGTGTATTTCCTTCGGAAAATACACTAAAAGAAGATATCTGAATCCTATCGCTTCTTTTTATCGAGTCACCCTTGAAGATATTATTGGTACTTTCCACGAGACATAAAAAATGGAATGAGTAGTAAAAAAATCCATGTATATTATCTTTCATTTTGTTCTACGGAGTTTGGAGTGGAGTTGGTAAAATTTGTATTGAAAAAAATATTAATGTAGGAGGACATTTATTTATCATGCAGGTTCTGAGCCTTTAAAGAACTTTGAGAAGGACCAGTACGTCAGGAAGAAATTCATCGCATTTCTTCTTTTTCAACCCACCAAATCTCGTACCGATTTTTTATTTGTAAGTATGTCGGAGAAAATTTTCAAGAAACGGGACTTGCAAAATATGCAGTGCACAAAACGTACAGACGTACACCTTAAACTTTATCGTACAGTATGACACTGATCGAATTAGGTTTAGAGATTATCAAAAGGTTAATTTCTCGTCAAAATATCAACAAATCAGTCAAAATCAGTAATCAGTAATCAGTTGCAAAATTACCGAGATTGCGGGATATCGAATGATGCGCGATTTAATTGATGACATAAGAACAGGATAGTTCCCAGTAGGCGCGACTTCCTATCACTCAAATGGACCGTTTTTGCAGATTAGCGGATATTGGCGGCTATTTATTACGTAATAATATTCTTTGTACTGTACAGGAAGCAGTCCAACAAATGTTTTTTGAGGGTCTTTTATCCCTATCAAGCTTTCTCAAGATTCTTTTGGCGTTTTTTCGGAGCAAGTTTTGAAGGTGGTTTTGGTCCTCTTAAAAAATGCCTACTTATACGTAGCAATGATGTACCAATATGTTCCTTAAAGAGAGGAGAATAAGCATGTTTTTAAGTATACTCATTTTTTACAAAATTAGTTTCCTTGTCTTAAAAGTCTGGCTGGAAGCCGTCTCCCGGGAACTTTAGGGTATGTAAGCATATTTAGATATCATTCTGGTGGCGCAGCACCGAATAAAGAAGGGAGAGAAAAAAAAGCACTTTAAAATAATTTTTCAGGTCATCGAGGTTAACAAAAAAGATATGTGATTTTTAGTCCCACCCCTCCTCTTCGCGAGGCAACTGTGCGTCAGATTTTATTCCGTTCAACTGATGTCTGATACAGTTATCTCGGATGCTTTAATAAAAATTGACAAACCCGTACAACAAAACATCCCCGAACTCCAGCACTTAGCCCCTTCTCCTTCTTCTTCTTTTGCCGTGCGCTCAATTGTATACATATATTACCTGCAAAAATTAAGCCCTATTTTAAGGCTTTATAGGTAGTACAATTTATTTATAATATTTTTAAAATTGCGCACCGTTGAGATTAAACCGAGACAAGCGGCTATTCCGTCGGGAACACCGTACTCCGCCGCCGCGCGCGTCCCGGGCAGGCAGCGCAGCGCGCG